TTCTGGAGCAATTCCTTTGGAGGTTGCAGAGGCTATGGGTGCATGTTGGAAAATTGAGAAGTCTGGGATTTCAGATATCTGAATTTGGTTCTTTTGAAAAATCCTGGATAAACGATTAATCTACAAAATTAGGCATCTGTCTAAAAGATCTCAAAGGTTCCTCCAGTGCTAAAGATTCTCAACTTGGGATAAAATTATTTACACTAGGGTCTGCCTTTTTCCCCTCTAGAGCAGCTGTTTAGTTTTAACACCAGGTGGCGCTAGACAACAGCTTAATGGAAAGGGCAAAGGCTCATGGTGAAGACTGGAGAGTTCCCAGATTATTTTAATTTTCTTCTTATAGCTTGCTATAAAGCAGAACTCTTGCATCTGATAGTTCCTCAGAAAGCACCATTTGAGGAAATGCCATCTGAAAACATAACATGAGTTCTCCTAGGGCCTCATACGTGGGGAGAGGAAACCAAGAGCCTGGTAACCACCCCAGACAATTTTGTGAGGGTTAACTTTGGAATTTGGAAACTTCTCTCCATTTGAGCAGAAGCAGGAGATAATCACAACTGTGATTTAGGATGGAACATCTAGTAGCGATGTGACGGGAGCAAGGAGTAATTGGCAGCGGGGAATTGTTTAGGAGACCCTTAAGCCAGAATCCATATACAAAGGTTTGAAATAGAGTAATGGAAATGAATACAGAAATGGGTAAGATGTTACAGCAACAGAACCTCTAAAATTTGACAATTATTTAAATAGACTTCAAGTAGGCTAAGTCATGACAGATGACTTCTGGAAAGTAGGAAAATATTGGGGCCAAGGACAGAAAATGGCAAAATGCCTTTGGGGTGGCAGAATGGCTGTTATATAAACACTGAAAAGAGACTGTGTGTGTTTCTGACATGGACAGTACTGAGACAGCCCCTTGGGGTGTAAGTGCTGGTCCTCAAAGGGCCGGGCTTGCCACTGGACTTGCTTGCTGTGGAGAACATTGAAGGGAATATTCCCATATGACAATTGGCCTCAAAATGTTTTCTTACACATGATTTTACTGGTGATGCTTTAAATCCAGAGGCATTTATGTGTTGGTAATGGGAATGTCCATCCACGTGTAGAGGTGAGGAGTATAGGGGAAATTGCTATAACTTGGGCTTAATTTGTCTAAACCTAAAATTGCTCTTAAGGAAAAAAAAAAAAAAACTGGGCCTCCCTGGTGGCACAAGGAGTTAAGTCTCAGCACTATGAAGCTATTTCTAGCCATTACAGCATGAGTTCCATCCTCAGCCAGGGAGCTACCCACATGGTGCAGCAGACCTCTCCTATCTCATCCACTGCTCCCCTCAACAGCGTCTTTCAGTAGATCTGCCTGTTCTGCTCCCCACTCTGTCCCTGGTGAATCTTCTCACCACCCTCCCTACCTCTGTCCTATACCCCAGCTCTTGTATGCATAAATAAATATTTTTTTTTTTTTAACTAACTTAAAATGACTATTCTGGGAAGATGGAAAAACAGAAAGCACTAAGAATCTGCCTCTCCTCCTGGACAAAATCTGTGTGATATAACCATTTTGTTTGTTTTTTAAATCCTTCTTATTTTTTTTTATTAATGAAGTACCATTGTTTTACATCCTTGTTAATAATTTGACATTATAAGATTTCTCCCATAAGGTGTGGTCACTGCAGCTCTCCCACCATCAAAGCACCCACAGTCCTCCACCACAGTGATGTGACTATTTTGGAACTTGGGACAGTTTATTGGAGGCTTACAATGACCAGGAAAAGACTTAGATGGTTAATTTTGATCAATTTCAACTCTTAAAACAGTAGCAGTAACCCATTCCCTGCCCCCGACCATGAGGCAGACAGCTGTGCACATGTTCCTGGAGCAGCTGACACAGATTGTAGGAGTCAGGGCAGGCACAAAGGGCTCTGTCCTCCACATAGCAGAGATCTGCGCTCTGATCACTGCTTGCTGCTTCTGATCACAGAGGTGCAGACAAAGAGGCAGGCAAGCATTCTTGTTTCACCTCCTCCTATTATTGCCAGCCCCTCCACCTCTGACTGAAGTGACATCCAAGAAACTTAAAGGACCAGTGCCTTTTTAGTTTTTCCTTCCTTATTTTAATTTTTCCCTTTTTGAGAGTCAGACATTAAAGACTAGAACATTCAAAAACATCTGAAGATACGGAAGAATCAGAAAGTTACAGGCATGCCAGGGAAAGGCTCAGAAAAGACCAAAGGAGACCTTATGTCTATACCTCAGACTGACCTTGAGGACAGAGAGCCTACATAATAAAGAAAATAAAAACAATAAATATACGCAATAACAAATTCCAGCACACCCTGGAAAAGGGGGAGAATTTGATCTCTAGAGTTACCACTCAAATGTTCAGTTTTCAACAAAACTTCACAACCCATACAAAGAAGCAGGAAAATCTGGCCCATTAAAAGAAAAAATAATAGATCAATCAAAATTCCCTAAGAAAATACTCAGTGAATACTCAACTTAGTATTTACTAAACACAAACTTTAAAACAGCTGCCTCCAGGATGCTCAAAGAACTTAAGATGTGGGGCAAGTCAAGAAAATGATGTACAGACAAAATAGCAATAAAGAGAAAACCTAAAAAGAAACCAAAATGAAATTCTGGAGATGAGAATTACAGTATCAGAAAGAAAGCCAAAGACAGAGCTGAATAAGCAGAGAAGAAAGGAGTAGCAAACTTGAAGATAGGCAACGTAAATTATTGAGTTTGAGGAACGGAACCATATAGCCAATGTTACCTTAATTTTTAAAAACTTTTATAATAAAAAGAAAAGGAAGAAAGATGGAAGAAAAGTGAACAGATCCTGAGGGTCCGGTGGGACATTATCAAGACGACCAACACACGCATTGTGGGAATCTCAGAGAGAAGAGAAATAAAAAGTGGCATGGAGAATTTTTTAGGAAAAATGTCCACAAGCTTCCCAAGATTGCACAGTGACATTCATATAAACTTCCAAGAAGCTCAACAAATTTCAAGTAAGATTAACTTAAAGAGAACCACACTGAGCTATATTAAAATCAAACTTTCAAAAGCTAAAAACAGAGAGAGGACTCATTCACAAAAATCAGAAATGAAAGTGGTGACATTACTATAGATTTTGTAGAAATAAAAGTAGTATGAGGGGCCTCCCTGGTGGCGCAGCGGTTGAGCGCTGGGTTGCAAAGCTGCCCGCAGCCTCTGCAGCACCAGTTCGATCCCCGGCCACCGGAGGAGGGTCCCACATGGCGAGCAGACCCCTCCTGGTGCCCACTGCCCCCCTCAGCAGTGTGCTTCGGTCCTCCTGCCTGCTCTGCTCCCCGCTCTGGCTCTGGTGAATTCTCTCACCCTCCAGCTTCTGACTGTACCCAGTGCTTGTATAAATAAATAAATAAATCTTTAAAAAAAAAAAAAGTAGTATGAAAGCACTATGAAAAATTGCATGCCAAAAAAACACATTGAATACCCTAGAGGAAGTGGGTGAATTTCTAGAAACACAAAACCTACTACAAACTAAATCACAAAGAATCAGTGATTACAACTAGTAAGGAGATTGAATAGACCTATAACTAGTAAGGAGATTGAATCAGTAATAAAATATCCCCTGTCAATGAAAAGCTCTGGACACAGTGACTTCCAGGTAAATTCTATTAAAAATTTAAAATACTAATCAATCCTTAAACTTTTCCACCAAAATTGAAGAGGTGAGAACACTCTGAATTCATTCCATGAGGCCAACATTACTCTCATACCAAAGTTAGACAAAGAAACCACAAGAACGGGCCTCCCTGGTGGCACAAGGGATTAAGTACCACACTATGAAGCAATCCGCAGCCTCTGCAGCATGAGTTCGATCCCTGGCTGGCCAGGGAGCAACTCACATGGCACAGCAGACCTCTCCTGTCTTGCCTGCTGTTCCTCTCAGCAGTGTATTTCAGTTAGTCTGCCTGTTCTGTTCCCCACTCTGTCTCTGGTGGATCCTCTCACCCCCCGCATCTCTGGCCTGTTCCCCAGTTCCTGTATGCATAAATACATACATCTTTTTAAAAAATAAAAGAAAGAAACTACAAGAAAACTAAAATCAGTATTCTTTATGAACACTGATGCAAAATCCTCAACAAATAATAGTAAATCAAATTCAACAGCACTTTAAAAAATTAGGCACCATGACCCAGTGAGATTCACTCCTGGGATGCAAGGATGTTTTGACATGCAAAACTGGATCAATGCCATACACCACATTAATAGAGCGAACGGGAGGGAAAAAACCACATAATCTTGTCAGCTGATGTTAAAAAGGTATGTGACAAAATTTAACACCCTTTCATGGTAAAACACTAAAAGAACTAGGAATAGAAGAAAATCATTTCAACATAATAAAAGCCATATATATGAACAAAACATAACAAACATCATATCAAACAGTGAAAGTATAAAAGTTTTCTTTAGCATGGGTAACTAGGTTAATATGCCTGCTTTCATCACTTGTGTTTAATGTAGTACTGGAAGTTCCCACCAGAGCAATTAGGCATGAAGAAAGAAATAAAAGGCATCCAAATCATAAAAGAAAGAAAATTACTTGTATCAAAAACAACATCAGAATTGGTGAGGATGTGGAGAAACTGGAACCTATGTGCAATGTTGATTAAAACATAAAATGGACAGCAGCTGTGGAAAACAATATTGAAGTTCCTCAAAAAAAATAAAAATAGAATTACCCTATGAGCCAGTGATTGGACTTCCGGGTATATACCCAAAAGCAGCAAAAGCAATGTCTTGAAGAGATACTTGTATACCCATGTTCATAACAGCAATACTCAAAATCGATAAAGCATGGAAGCAACCCAATGGACCACTGACAGGTGAATGGACAAAATGTGGGCTGTGCATGCAAGAGAATATTACTCAGCCTTGAAAAGGAAGGAAATTCCATAATATACTACAACGTAAAATACTATATTACAATGTGGATGAACACTTACCTGCTAAGGTACTGGAGTGCTCAGATTCGTTGAGCCAGAACATAGAAAGGTGGGTGTGAGGTGCTGGGGGAGGGAAAACAGGGAGTTAGTGTTTAATAGGTGTAGAGTTTCGGTTTTACAAGATAAAAAATGCGCAAAGGAACAGTGGTGACAGTGTGACAACATTATGAATATATTCAATACTACTGGACTGTGGCATTCACTTAAAATCAGGTAAGATGGTAAGTTATATGGAATGTATCTTTTACCACAAGAAAGTTGAAAAAAATAGCAAGAAAACATAAGAAAAATTTGGTGTCACTTCTCCAGTTTCCTGTGTGTTATTATAGCAACATGGTATAGTGGAAGGAGCAGGAGCTTTGGGCCTGATAGGCCTGGGTTTAAATACTTAAAATCCAGTTTTACAGTTTTATCACCTCACTTCCCTACAAAACTGATTGGAAGAGACCACACTTGTTTTAGGCGTCCAAGCTCCTTTATTGCCTTGAGCAAATGCCTTAATCTCTGTGAGTCTCCGTATCATTCATAACCTAGGGCACATAATACCAAATATCCCACAGATTTGCCTTGAGAAAAAAAGGCAGCGTGGCTACAGAATAAGCAATCAGAAAATGCCATATATCTTTCCCTTTAAAGAAAAGGATGGGGCCTCCCTGGTGGCACAGGTGGTTGAGCGTTGAGCGCCGCACTGTGAAGCTGTCCACAGCCTCTGCAGTGTGGGTTCAATCCCAGCCGGCCAGCAAGAATCCCACATGGTGCAGCAGACCTCTCCTGTCTCGCCCACTGCTCCCCTCAGCAGTGTGTTTCATCAGTCTGCCTGTTCTGCTCCCCACTCTGTCTCTGGTGAATCCTCTCACCCTCCCGAGCATCTGGCTTGTACCCTGGTTCTTGTATAAATAAATAAATCTTTTAAAATAAATAAAGATAAAATAAAGAAAAGGCTGTTAGGATGTCTTTACATGAATCTGTCAGCCACGTTCAACCCCAGCACAGAGACAGATATAATGGCTAAGGTTATCTGTGGTTATTTTTGGGAAGGAACACTAAGCTCTCACAGTTGAGGTACTCAAAAATTAAATCCATTAAATTGGCCCAGAGCTTGAGACTTCAGTTATTCACGGGTGCACAAGAAATAAGAGGAAGTAGGAGTTACACAATGCATCTTCGTCCTAATTACTCAATCTCCACCCAACTGAACCCTTGCTACATAAGAGTAGCCACAGCCCCTGAGAGCAATAATCATCCTGAATTGCAAATCACATTTTGCCACCTTACAGAACCTTTGTAAATCTCGGTTGCAGTGAATGCACCTCTTTTTTTATTTGTGAAGTGACTATTGTGAGTGAATTCCCATAGTAGTCATTATTAGAAGTCCTTTGGCAAACTCTACAAATGGGAGGAAGAAGAAATCAATATGAAAATTAGTATTTGTATTTTGCAATTTAAAGGGAAAAGAGTTTGTCAAGGAAGACAGGGCAATTTCTGGGATGGAGCCTGATAGATAGTTCCAGAGTTGGGGCATTGATGCGTCCATGGAGATGGTCAATAAAAGACCAACAGAGAACGCCTTGTGGCAGACAGATGTGTTTCCTGAGGGGCAGACAGGGGCAACCACTCACTCCCTCAGCAGGAGAAAAGTACCGAGGTGACAGCACCCCACCTTCCCAAGAGTAAGGGAGGAGCAGGCAGAGCAAGCCTTAGAAGTATGAATTCTCTCTCATGGCCCCCGGCAAAGCAAGTAGCATTGTCATCTGCTCTTGTGAATGGAAACACTCTTCCAGGTATTTGGAAAAAACTCCTGCATAGAAGTGCTTTCAGGTGACCTGGGCATTAGTAACCCCGAAAAGGTGTCTCCTTCTTCTGGAAAGTATTAACCAGCAATGAATTCTCACCTGACCTCCTCTTCGCTAAACAAATGCATATATGTAAAAGGAAGCGGACTCATTGATCACTGGAAAGACTTGATCCTGTTTTGTGCTGAAGTAGCCGTGTTGTCAAGGTGTGAAGCCACGTCACACACAATGGAGGTAGCCAGCCGTGGGCCTGGAACGAGACCACACAGAGATGAGACCCTTGCAGGTAGTGGGTAATTATGGCACCAGCCTGTGTGTCTATGGTATTCTTAAACTGAGGCCTTGCAAGACGCGGTGGTGCGCCAAGCTGGGGAAAGAACAGGGGAAGGCAGATCAATGGAAAATTAAGCCAGTTATTTACTTTTAAATTACTTTTATTTAGCTTTTAAAATAAGGTTAAAACAATAAAATAAATTGGGGCCTCCAGCGTGGCACAAGGGGTTAAGTCTCAGCACTATCAATCTATCTGCAGCCACTGTAACATGAGTATGATCCCTGGCCAGGGAGGTGACCCACAGGGAGCAGCAGACCTCTCCTGTCTCGCCCGCTGCTCCCCTCAGCAGTGTATTTCAGTCAGTCTGCCTGTTCTGCTCCCCACTCTGTCTCTGGTGGATCTTCTCACCCCCTGCATCTCTGGCCTACACCCTAGTTCTTGTATGCATAAATAAATAAAAACAAATCTTCAAAAAATAAATTTAAAAAATTTTAAAAGGTAAAAAACCCCCCTGAAAGGCACAGTTCCCTTCTGGTCTATGTCCAGTCAATTATTTTTGATCCATTCTAGATTAAAAAAATAAACATGAGAAAATAAAAAATAAAAATAAAGGGAGAGGGCTAGGTTGACCCTCCACGTCCATGAACCCCACTTCTCTTCAGAAGGGGTAACTTATGATTCTCGCTGCTTTGCTTTACGTCCAGTCAATTCTCTGAAACTACACCTGGCTCATCTTGACAATCTCCCAATCGTCTCAACCCTCATTGCCAGCTGGCAGAAAGGGTTACTGATGGTTAGGCTCTTCAGTTATTTGCTGGTTCTTATTACTTCCTCTGGTGGGAAGATTTTTCAAGGTCTGGGCCCGTTAATGTGTGACAAACCCCATGGCCTGCCTAGAGGCAGAAGATGCCTCCTGTGGCCTCACTCATTACCAATTACCCTGCTCATCTGCGGAACGCCTTCGTAATGTGTTTTATTTATTTTGCCTCCACACTTTCCCGCCTTTCTAGAGGAAGAGGTGACTAAACCTCCTTGCTTTGCCCCTCAAGAAAGCAATTTTTTTCACCTTAGGTGGGCCATCTGTTTCTCCTAACACAGCTCTGCTTGGACTTCAATTGAATACATCTTGTCCCGGGAACTTTGCCAGCTGTAGGCTCCAGGAAATGGAGCAACTCAAAGTGGTTTCCTTGTGATGTCAGGTCTTTTTTTTTGAAATGCAACTTAGGGAATTAACCTAAAGGAAATTGTGCATCATTGTTCATAGGAGGGGTTCACAGAGCCACAGGCATCTCCGGGTAACAACTGTAATTGTATGTGAATTTCCTAAGAACTTATCCCATAGAGACATGTGGCTGCAGCAATGGGCCTGACATGCAGAGGGGAGATAAATAGAGTACTTTCCTTAGGCCCTGAAACAGACCTCTACACTGAGGTTCCCAAACTCTGGACGCAGATCCCCTTCCCTATGGAGTTTTCAGCCTTCATGCGCCCTTCCTACTTGGTTGCCTGCTCCTAATGCCCAGCCAGGTTGAGAAAATTTCCCTAAACCATTGGGGGATCAAAGACTTCTTCTTAAATGCCCCCCAAGCTGGTGGTGGGGGGGACAATTACCTGGGGGAGAATGAGTATCAAAGTGTACAGTCTTGTGGAAACAAGTGTTGGCAAGGTTCTGGAGAAAAAAGAACCCTTGTGTACTGTTAGTGGGAATGCAAGTTGGTGCAGCCTATGAAGAAAACAGAATGGAGATTGCTCAAAAAAATAAAATTGAAATACAAGTGAAATACAGCAATTCCACTTCTAGGTTATTTACTCAAAGAATATGAACCCACTAATTCAAAAAGATGTATGAGCCTCTCTGTTCATTACAGCACTATTCACAATAGCCAAACATGGAAACAACCGAAATGCCCATCAAGAGATGATTGGATTAATAGGCTGAGATATCTACTCAGTGGAATACTACTGAGCAATGCAAAAGGATGAAATCTTGCCTTTTTCAACAACATGGCTAGAACTTGAGTGAAATAAGTCAGAAAATGAAAGACAAATACCACATGGCTTCACTCTTGTATGGAATATAAGTAAAACAAACAAAATAATACTTAGACTATGAAAATGGTGGTTACCAGAGGAGGAGAAAGGGAATGTGGTGGCAATTTGATTGTGGTGATAGTTTAGAACTTTGGTAGTGGGTGTGATATGGTATGTGTATATATTGAGGTGTTAAACTTTATTCCTAAAGCTTATATAGTATTATAAATTAAGGGCAAATCAATTTAAGATAAAAAGAAGTATAGTCTTAATCCAGAAGATAATGAGTGATGAGCAGTGAACTGAAGCTGGTACAATGCTCAGGCTGTTTTCTCAGATGGTTATCCAGAGACTCGCAGTTTTAGTGAGGATTAAATCACGAAGAGAATAAGGCAGTCTTGGTGTCGCAACCATGGGCTGCTCAGGCCAACGAAGGGGATTTTCTCCTACTTGAGCACAGAGATAGAGCATCAGCAAGGGCAACAACCACTTGCCTTGAAGAAATAAAGAAAAATCAGTAGCTGTTCCAAGAAGCAACACATAAGCCATTTTATTGGAGTGAGAGAAAGCAGCAGCAACGGCAGGCATCATGAGGTATAAGAAAAGCATTTGTTGTCTTATTTTAACACATGTGGAGGAAGACCAGGATACTCTGAACTACTCGGAAGGTCACGGCTCATATTCAGCCAATGCAGTCTGTCATGGTGTAAATGTAGGAATCCTGCCGTGATGAGTGCTAAGTAGCGAGAGTCAGACTCCATGTCACTGGATGACACTGCCCAACAGCCACTGTCTAAGTGGTCATGGGACCTGGGACTGGTACCTCCAGACATGGAGGCACGAGCTCAGCAGGTCATAGTAGTAGCTGAGGTAAATGTACTGTCTGCCTACTGCCTGGGGCCCAGAGTTGACAGGTCTGGTTGGTCTTGGCATTAGAGGCTTCCACAAAGGTACTTCAAGGTGCAGGTTAGGTGAGAAGCACTAGCAACAGAACATAAGGGGTAGCTAGCTACCCGATGACCCCCCCACTTCAGCGACTGCTTGGCCCCAGACCTAGTGACCATCAATTTGATGAAGAAGCCATTAAAGAGTTTGGTGCAGTTTTCTCCATAAAGTTGTAGCTTATAGAAAGGCAGTGTTTAGTTTCATGAGAGCTTATTAAATATAAGAACACACCAGTCATTTCTAAAAATCAGTAACTATTTAGAAATGATTCAAATAAGCTAATGAACATTTGCCTTGCAAGTTAGATACACTTTAATGCTTACCCACATCCTATGGAGTAACAAGTTCTGGTTTTTTTTGTTTAAGATTTATTTTTATTTATTTATGCATATAAGAACTGGGGTCTAGGCCAGAGGTGCAGGGAGTAAGAGGATTCACCAGAGACAGAGTGGGGAGCAGAACAGGCAGATCTACTGAAATACACTGCTGAGGGGAACCGTGGGCAAGACAGGAGAGGTCTGCTGCACCACGTGGGTCAGCTCCCTGGCTGGGGATTGAACTCATGCTGCAGCGGCTGGCAATAGCTTGATAGTGCTGAGACATTAACCCCTGCACCACCAAGGAGACTCATGAGTTCTGTTTTAATAGGATTATGCTGTGAATAAACCATGGTATGTGTTTAGAAATGAAATATCCAGGGAAAATATTCCTTTGCTTATATTATTTTTTGGAATTTCCTGTGCCCTGTTTGATATATGTAGATATAAAAAGGAGGCTGGTTTTAGTTACCTAATACTGTGGTGCATTTATTATGTCAACTTGCAAATGTTTTTATTTGGATTTCCAAACATGTAATATTTAACATGTTTTATTAGCAAAGGAGCAACAAAGGAACAATCTGGCAGCTAATTTAACACCTATAAATTCCCCTGTTTGCAATATAAACAAAATGGCCTCAGCAGACCACACAGGTCTACCCATGTTTCAAAGAAGATTAGACATAAATACAGCTAAACTGCCCTATATTTAAAGTTCTCCTATTCCATAAAATATTTATGGACTCATTGTTTATACTTTTATTTAAAATTGGAGGCTGATCTAAACAGATGCATTATATGAAAGTGCTTATTATTTTCCAAATAGCTATAGTTGAGAAGGCATATAAAAGCTAGATGATTACAAATCAACAATTATAACTGATCCACCTGAAAACAAACATTAAAAAGGTACTGATCAACTTATTTGGAAGCTTCAAACCTGCACACAAGTGTTTATAGCATCTCCCTTCATAATGGCAAAATTGTGACCAACCAAGATGTCTTTCAACTAGAGAAAGCATAAACAAACTGTGGACTATCTGTATGAAATACTGTTCAGTGATTAAAAAGAATAAACTACGGAGCCATAAAAAACATGGATGACATGGATTGCTAAGGGAAAGAAGCAATCTGTAGAAACTACAATCTGTATGTATCCAGTTATATGCTAGTTTAGAAAAGGTAAAACTATGGAGATGAGAAAAAGATCAGTGGGTTCCAGGAGTTCCAGGCAAGGAGAGAGCTGAAGAGGTGAGGCTTGGGAGATATTTTAGGACACTGAGGTTGTTCTGTGTTATAATACTGTGGGGGAGACATGGCGTTGTGAGTTTGTTGAAGGCTGACACTGCGTGTTCAGCACGAAGACTGAACCTTAATGCCTGCAAATTAAAAAAAAAATACATGTAGAAGGTGGGGGTGTATCCCAGGCTGGAAAGTGGAATGTGACAAAGCAATCTAAGGGTGAGGGGAGGAAAAGGTGCTGACCTTAATAACTTCGGAAATGGTGTCTATAAAAGGGAAGGCCAAAGATACTGTAGCTGACCACGTTAGTTGATAAAATTACTTATCACAGGATATGGGTTAAAAGAGAAAGAGAGAGAGAAAGACTACTTAGTCTTGGGCCTCACAGCTTTGTCCTCTCCTTTCCTGCCCAAGGCCTCTACAGCAGCCACATGCCACCAGATCCTCATACTCCTTGTATTCATTGGGGCCAGAGGAGTAGGAACTGAGCCGTAAGTCATGAGCCTGACATTGTTCCATTCAGATGTGAGTTGGGACAGAGAGAATAACCCAGAACCGTGGAACAAACTAAGTTCCAAAGATCAATACAAGTTTGCCTCAGTGAATGCAGATGACAGCCAACTGAAGAAAAACGGTCCAGACTTCAAAGTGAAATGTTTCCCAATAAAGTTGCTTAAAATGAAGGTCTTCTAGAAACCATCTGCTCAATTTCTGAAAACAAGGAAAGTCTAAGAAACTCTCCCAGATAAGAGAAGCCAAAAGCGATATGACAACTTGATGTGTTGTGGTGCCCTCGAGGAGATGCTAGGCCAGGAAAGGAGATTAGGTAAAATCTAAGAAAATACAAGTAAGTATGGCTCTTGGTTAATAATAATGCATCAACATTGATTCATCAGTTTCAACAAATGATGGCATTAATGGAAGACGATAAATAATAGAGGTAACTGGATGTAGGATATAGAGGAAGTCTGTACTAAGTTAGCTCTTTTCCCCCTGTAAATCAAAAACTGTTCTAAAATATTTGATTTAAAAAATATATCGAGAATCACATACTCATAGAAAGTGGGAAATAAACATCCTCAATTAAATGCCTTATTTTACAAAGGAGGAAACAGGATTTTATAGTAAGAGTTAGCAGTCCAGCCTGGCAAGTAGTCTGAGCTTGAGAAGGCAGGGGTGGCAAGCTGCTGAGCTGCACCCTCAGGGACCTGGAGCGCCCACAATGGTACACAGTGGGCACTCAATAATTAGTGAACAGCGAGCATTTCCCAAAAACCTACCCTCTGCCCAAGTATTCCATTCATTCATTAACTCACTCCTTCACTCAACAAATATTTACCGGGTGGCACTATAATTTTATTTCTAGAATTATAATCACTTCAAAACTCTGACATATTGGCCATTTTCCATACCTGACTTTGTAGGAAACTCCATTCAGCTCATTGAAGTTTCTAGGTGTCCAAGGAGGACGGTTTCAAGTCAAGTGTTAACTAAGACTAGACAAGGAGGCTCCTTAAGAGTTACAGAGAGTGGGCCTTCCCGGTGGCGCAGCGGTTGAGCGCTGGGTTGCAAAGCTGCCCGCAGCCTCTGCAGCGCCGGTTCAATCCCCGGCCACCAGAGGTGGGTCCCACATGGCGCGCAGACCTCTCCTGCCGCCCGCTGCTCCCCTCAGCAGTGTCCTTCGGTCCTTCTGCCTGCTCTGCTCTGCTCTCCGCTCTGCCTCTGGTGAATTCTCTCACCCTCCCGCGCTTCTGACTGTACCCAGTGCTTGTATAAATAAATAAATCTTTAAAAAAAAAAAAAGTTACAGAGAGTGTGTGTGGCTCATTTACATTCAAATTATGGTCTATAACCTTGATGCCCTTTGTCACTTTAGTGTCTCCAGCCTCTCATCCTATTCCTTTCACTGTTTATTAAGGCGACAGACTGAGAGCATGGTTTTGTCCTGGCTTCCAATTCCAGTACCACTGTTCACCAGCTGTGTGTGATCTTGGCCAAGTTGCCTAAACTGTTTGAACTTCAGTTCCCCTTCTGAAAAATTACCTCATAAAAGAGTGTTGCTTGGATTAAATAAGCCAACATTTCTGAAGTGTTTAGCACACTTGGCAATGACATTATTATTAGTAGTATCATTTCTACTTTTGCTATCATTACCAGTCACCCAGATGCTTGTATCTGTGGAACAGCTTTGGGAAGCTTTGGGCAGTAACTCAGGATCTACAAAAGAACACATGTTGGCACATAATCCATCTTTCGATCTTTCTAGATTTGATAAGTGAGTCATTTCCAACAAACCGCAAAATTATTGCCGGGTTCTGGGCTATCTGATTTTATATACTGTCAGTCCAGCGTCCTTTTAGCACGCCAGGAAACTAAAGGTCTGATTTTCAAGTTCCTGTCTTTCTTGGCCTCTTCTCCTGACTGTTTATTTTCATGTTAACATTATTATTCATTCTAAATATTCCACAGGCTCTTAAAACAGCATGGTTTTCCTTGACACACTTCTTTCCTAGTGTTTATTTTTCCTGCCTTTATTTCCCTCATATTTAAAGATCATATGACACACACACACACACACACACACACACACACACACACACACAGCTCACAGCCTCTGGGTATTAACGCTGTGAGAAAACCCAGCGCACCCGGGGGAGCCTCGGTCTCTATGTCCAGGTGAAAGAGGTCTTGTGTTTGCTGTTCTGACTAAAAATTCCTGAGCCACAAGACCATCCTTGCTGGCTCCCCTTCAGAACCGCAGCCGCCTGTGGGGGTTCCTGACAGTTCCCAAGCACAGCCTACCTTTGACTCTGCACCCCAGGACCAAGGCCTCTGGAAACTGCTCCTTCTTAGAGCAGCAGCCGGCTGGCAGCTCCACATCCCACACAGCAGCTCCTCGTAACGCCGCCTTCTCCTCAAGCACCTCACTGCTGACACCTCTGTGGAGTTTGTTTTCATCATTTTCACTTCAGGGGCAGAAAGCTAAGTTTGGGGCATAGAGTAACCCAGTTCCAAAAACCATGCTAAGCACAAATGTTCCAAGCTCAGAGGAAATCTTCAGGGGAACTTTAAATAGTTTTAATCCAAAAGAATACTTTTGTACTGAGTTCAAAAATAATTGTTTCTTTTTTACTGATGAACAATTTTAAAGGCAATTTTGTCTGCACCACAATATTATTTCGACAAACATACTGTGAATTAGTTCTCAATGATGGCAGTTTTTTTTGAAACTCTTTTTCTCAAGGATATACTCATATGAGACAAGTCCTACCTCTCTCCTGTGAAGGTGGAAGCAGCTGCTGTTTCTCCCCACACTGCTGCCCTCAGTGATTCAAGGACTTTCGCCTGAGGGTAATGAGAAAGAGGAGTCAATTAGGAACAGAGGAGCAGCAGATTCTAAATCGGGGCGTTTCATGAGCTCCCAGGTGGAAATCAGAGGAAGAACGTATGTGTGTTCCCGTTTTTTTTCATAAGCTTAAATGTCTGATGTCTAAAATTATTTCTCTCAGATATCTCCTAAGGCCTCATCTGATTAGAAAGCTTTTGTTGTAGTTGTTATTCTTTATCTGTTAGGAAATACTAGTCAGACCACTCTTCAATTTTAATATTCATACTTTTAACATAATTGCTTAAATTCTATATCAGATATTGCTGAAAGCATGAATTGACTCTGTCACTAATTTGTAGGGATTTTTTTTTTTTTACTTGAAACACACCTGATCGGACAGAGGAGTGATAACATGTACCAATGTAAATAAAACTCACATACGTGTGCAGTAATCACAGAAAAATATAGCAGGACATATTTACTAGGACTCTGGACAGTATGTTGGAATGGCCTGACTTACCTGACATGAGAAGTTTACTTTGGGAGGCTCCAGAGACTGTCATAAAGAGACAGATGGTCGTCAGAGCAACATAAGCCAGGGTCCAGCAAGAGGTCTGAGTAACAGGCCATCAGGAAAGAAAACAAAATAGAATGCCCTAAGTCTCCATATACAAAAAAAACAAACAATAGTTTCAAATTTGAGTCCCAAATTAAACGTCAATAGGGCAGCTTCTCCAGTTATCCTTGGTTTGCAATTCAACTGCTGCTTAAATAGGCAACTCTAGCACATCCGTTGGGAAAGCAGCAGACATTTCATCATTCTCCTTAGAAGTGATGGGAAATTCAGTTAGTAGCAAGGAAGTGTGTGACACACAAGGGCTTGGGAAGTCAAGATCCAGAGGAACTTCTAGCAGAAATCTTCCCTGAGTGAGGAGGAACATGATCTTGAGGCCCAGGAGGCCCAGGACAATGGCCAAAGAGCTCCATGCACCTCCTGATGCAGACAGGTGAGAAGCACAATGACCGAATGTCGTAGGGACTTGAATTTTGCCGAACGGACAGACGAATCAGCTATTTTGAACAGCTGTGAATTAAATACAGGTTTCCACAACTGTCAAAAAGCAGAGCATTCCTATGAAAACTTTTGCTTGTTTGCTTGCTATGTGTGTCTGTATGGATGTATGTCTGTGTGTATGCATTTATTTATTCTTGTATTTATTTGTGGTCACATTGGTTTATACGACTGTGTATGATTCAGAGGAACAGGGCCACAACTCCTAGGATGTCCATCACGACATCCCATCCACCCACATATCCCTTCGTCATGTGCCATCGGGCCTCCTCCCCACTTTTTTTTTTTTTAAGAGAGATTTATTTATTTATACAAGCACTGGGTACAGTCAGAAGCACAGGAGGGTGAGAGAAATCACCAGAGCCAGAGTAGGGAACAGAACAGGCAGCCTGATGAAATACACTGCTGAGGGGAGCAGCGGGCGGCAGGAGAGGTCTGCGCGCCATGTGGGACCCTCGCCCGGCGGTCGGGGATCGAACCGGCACTGTAGAGGCTGTGGGTAGCCTCGCAGCCCAGCGCTCAACCACTGAGCCACCGGGGCTCCTCCCCACTTTGATCCCATCCTCTCCCCCTCCAGTGGCCTCGATTCTGCTGTCATTTCTAGACATTATCTCGGTTTAGTTCTGTCCTTCCTTTGTTATGAAACCTTTTGTAAGCTGAAATGGTGTAAAGGGAAGAAGCAATTAACATTAATTTATATGGGAACATTTTGGTGCATTCCTAGACACTCCCCAAAATAACCAACCAAATCATTCCCCCAAAACACCTAAGACCTGAAATGATACTATGCTTAGCAAAAGTGGGAACAATATGATAAATACACAGTCCATAGGAAGCAGCTTCCAGGGGAGGAGGTGGGCAGGGAGACTCGTCCTGCCCGGACCCGCTGCCGTTGTAATGACCCCTGTGAAATCAATGCTGAATGCAACTTTCACCTTTTGCCTTTTCTTGTAAAAGCAAACGAGAAATTCTTTTCAGATTTCTTTCTTTTCTTTGATTTACCAATGGTTTATATTACTATAACTTTTCAGGAGTACAGCTTCACACTTCCATGTTTGTAAGGAAAGCTTCTTCAACAAGTGGTGTTGGGAAAACCGGACAACCATATGCAAAAAAAAAAAAAGAAACTCATCACTAGCTAACACCATACATAAAACTAATTCAAAATGGATTATAGAATTGGACACAAGGCCTGAAGCCATGAAATACCCAGAAGAAAACTTGGGCAATAGAATCCTACACATTGACTACAGAAGAGGGCTTTGGGGACTCAATTCCAACCACAAGACAAACAAAAGCAAAAATAAAAAGTGGGTTATATCAAACTCAAAGGTTTTTGTGCAGAGCAAGAAATCACCACAAAAACAAAAAGGCAACCTACCAATAGGGAGATTTTTGCACAGCATACGTTCGACAAAGGGTTAATAGCCAATATATAAAGATCTTAGGCAACTCAACAACACAAACCAAATAACCAGTCAAAAAATTGGCAGGAGCCTCACTGGTGGTGCAAGGGGTTAAGCACCACACTATGAAGCAATCCGCAGCCTCTGTAGCACGAGTTCGATCCCCGGCCAGCCAGGGAGCTACCCACATGGTGCAGCAGACCTCTCCTGTGTCCCTGCTGCTCCCCTCAGTAGTGTATTTCAGTCAGTCTGCCTGTTCTGCTCCCCACTCTGTCTCTGGTGAATCCTCTCACCCCCCGCATCTCTGGCCTGTACCCCAGCTCTTGCATGCATAAATAAATAAATCTTTAAAAAAAATGGACAGAAGATCTAGACACTTATCCAAAGACACACAAATGACTGAGAGGCATATGAAAAAAATGCTCAGCATCACTTATGATTAGGGAAATGCAAATCAAACACACCATGAGCTGTTACCTCACACATGTAAGAATGGCATATATCAAAAAGATGGGAAACTGGGCCTCCTTGGTGGTGCAAGGGGTTAAGCACAGCCCTGTGAAGCTATCTGCAGCCTCTGCAGCACGAATTCTATACCAGGCCAGCCAGGGAGCTACCCACATGGCACAGCAGACCTCTCCTGTCTCACCCACTGCTCCCCTCAGCAGTGTTTTTCAGTAGATCAGCCTGTTCTGTTCCCCACTCTGTCTCTGGTGAATCCTCTCACTCCCTGCACCTCTGGCCTGTACCCCAGTTCTTGAATGCATAAATAAAAATAAATAAATCTTTTTTTAAGAAAAAGATGGGAAACAAGTACTGGTGAGGGTCTGGAGAAAAAGGCACTCTCATACACCATTGGTAGGAATGTAAATTGGTGATTTCTTTTGGTGGTGAAAAAAGGTACTGAGGTTGTATAAAAATGAAGTGATCTAACAGGTATGGGGTGGATAACTGTACAATGAAATGAGTAACGCTATCAAAGAAATAGAGTTAGACATAAGAAGAAAAAAAGGAAAAGAGAGACAAGTCAGTTTGTGTGAGGACCGAGTTGTGGTCCAGATTAGCATGGGGTGAACAAGATGGGTAGCTCTACAGATGGAGCAAAAGGTAAAAAGTTGCTTCTTCATACTCACATATTTCTACATGTCTAGGTCATCCAATAAATTAGCCCCTGGGTAGCATAATCTTCATTTACTGTCTATCACAGGAAAGTTATTTATAAATATACAAAGGAAATGTGCAGTCAGCTGCACACAGCACTCACCTCTTTTCTTTTTCTTTTTCTTTTTTTAGATTTATTTATACATGCAAGAACCTGGGTGTAAGCCAGAGATGTGGGGGGTGAGAGGATTCACCAGAGAGAGTGGGGAGCAGAACAGGCAGATTGACTGAAATACACTGCTGAGGGGAGCAGCAGGTGAGGCAGGAGAGGTCTGTGGGTCATGTGGGCAGCTCCCTGGCCGGCTGGGGATTGAACTGCAGTGGCTGGCAATACGTGATAGTGCTGTCTTTAACCCCTTCGCCACCAGCCAGGGTGGCCCTCATCTCTTTCCTTGAATTCCATGCCAGTGGTTCCAGCTTCAACAAAGTAGAGACAAGAAATTCCTGCTCTCTCAGGCCTGCTAACTGCTTCTGGTTTGCTGGCCCTCACTTTGTTCGACATACCTCTCCACCCCAGGTGTGCATGTATGGCTTCCCCCAAACTGCTGTCACTATGAGGCTTCCGTTCACCTGTTCACCTCCTCTCTTCTTGACATGTTCAACTTTTGGCTTCTGTGACAACACTTTCCTAATTTTTCCACTATTTCTCGTTCTGTCTTTAATGCCAACAGTCCCTAATGCCCTGATCTTAGTTCTATCTCCTTTTCACTGTGCAATCCCTTCTGAGAGGCACAGATGTTGGAAACCCAAAGTTGGGGCCTGTGTGCCTTCTGGCTCTGTGTGAGGACTCTGATACTCCCTCCTTCATAAATGGGACCGATAGCAGTAACAACTTCAAGGGGTGGCCGGGAGGAGCGTGTGCCTGGCACACAGTGAAAGCTCAGTAACTTTTAGGCAGAAGAGCCACAGCATTAACTATCCCTTAGCTGAATAACTCTATTAGTTAATTAGTTTTTAAAGTTGATTTGTCCATTGACTCGAATTCTTTAGCCACACTTTTTTAGGAGCTTCAGATCCATTTAAGCAAGTCCCATGACCAATTGTCACCAGGTCTCAAGTTCAGCACTCACAAACAAGCTCATTTCTATCTCCCCACTCCTGCTCCAGTCAGAACTATTCTTCTTTTTGTGTTTTCTGAGATGAATAACAACAACATTCATCCAAGGGACCCACCCTTTGATACTTGATAAAATCGCCTTGCCTTTTCTCAGCTAACTCTACCCTAACTAGAAAAACCCAGTTGGCCACCAAATTCTTTCAGTTTTGCTTTCTGTCATCTCTTCTGGGTTACTGCTAGAGTCTCTGTCCTCCTAGTGTCTAACCCTTTCCTCCCACACCATCCTTTTTTCATACCACAGTCGGGTGTTCATCCTTTTTAGTATTTTTCATTATGTTTCCATTCACCTAAACTTTAAAATTTTCAGCATAGGCTGTGAAGTATTTCATTAACTTGTCTCTTTCTACTCCTCTAATCTTATCTCCTTATCATTCCTAATTCCAGGCATACAAATCTACCTGTAATCCCCCAAATTAGTACCCCCTCTCATCTTCATGCCTTTGTTGACACAGCCCAGAATGCCCTCCCCTCCACTGTCTAGACAACCCCTGTTTTATCATATTTTTTCTAGCTTCTGAAACACTACTGTAAATTGAACTTAAGACCAGAAATGAAGGCTTGTTGGCAGATACTACCGTTCTGTTCACTGAGAAGAGTTTGCTCAAAACACAGCGAAATTCCTTTGGTGCCTTTATTGATGAGCTACAGAATAGATTTCTTTTTCAGTCGTTTTATTTTTTGCTTTCTGCTGACTGCTAATGACACTGGATGAGGAACCAAGGAGCTAGACTATTTATTCTACCAAAATGTTATAATAAGAGATCTAGATGGTGAGGAAAACTTGGTGAAAAACCTCAGAGAAACTAGGGAAGAGAAAGAGATGCTCAGTTACCTTCTGAAATCACATTGGTTGCTTCTCCTTTCCTCCCTCCATCTCACTGCCCCATCCCTCGGTCCCTAGGTCCCTACCTCTCTACCTCTGTTTGTCTTGCACACACACACACACACACACACACACACACACTTTTGTTTAGGTAAAAATCGTCCTGTGTTCTTTTCAACCCCTCAGGTGGATTTTTGGTCTGGGGTTTTGGTTTTTTTTCGGTATTCTCCAGGAGTCTGCCTCTCTCAGGTTCTTGTATAGACTAGTTACTTCCTCCTGTAAAGAAGCTGCTTCCTTTGTTCTCTCCTGGCTTGGAAGAATCCAAGGGAGGCAGTTCTTGCAGCCCTGTCTCTCTTCCACTCCCTCCGCCCCAGTTCTGGCTGAAGCAGCCAGTCAGTCAACCCAGGCGCGAGAGCAGACAAAGGCTCATTTGTAAGGAACCTCCTAGCAGTGCCTCCTCTCTCCTCCCAAACTCACTCTTTAAGAAGACTCTTCTGCCAAGAAGACCAAAGGAAAGAAGAAAGGGTATGTAACTTTTTTTCTTAAAAATCATTTTAGGTGACTTCTTCTACCCCAAACTACTACTCTAGAGCTTAGAGTAGAAATGCATTTAAGTGTTGAAGCATAAGAGAAAGACAGAGTAACAGAGCCTCGGAGGAGGCTCTTGAAATAGATGATGCCTTTGAAATAGATGATGCCTCCCAGGATAATGGAGCTCAAATGAAAAGAGAACAGGAGGGTCCATTCCTTAACTGGGAGTCTTTTAATCACAGGTTTAAGAAGAGGCAGCGTCCTTACTGTTATTCCTCATTAAAGCCCACGTCCACGCTGACCCTGGTCCCGTACAACGGGGCTTGACTACGTGAAGACGATAAAGTATATGTTTTTATCTTTAATGCAAACACCCTATCTGTATATCACCTACTCTAACTGCAGGGTGCAAGGGAGCAAATGTTTTTTATTGTTTTTGTTTTTAAAAATCCCAGTTCCTAAAAAGAAACTGGTATAAATGTGCGCTACACAAAGAGGGAATTCATTGAATTCACCCTTGTGTCCCCTGCCATGGAACAACACAGTGTCTGTACCACTAAGAGAAAGGAACACTTTTTCTCTTTGGGGTTTATAAAAATTCCTCTTTAAAATTCCTTAACTTAGTTCCTTGCGCTGTGGAAAGCTCTCCCCAGAGCTGGTCCTGTTCCCCGGTGTGATTGTGGCTGGGAGAGCAATCAGGATGATGCAAGACTAAGGTCAGAACATCTTCTAGCAGTCTCTGAGAGACCTGAGGCTGGACATGGACTTCATGTTTCCACAGATGAAGGTTTCTTGGGCATTGGGGTGATCATGTCTGTTTTAATGATATTTGAAAGGCTTGCACTTTCTAATACCAATTCTGTCCCTTTCACATAACTTCAGAAAGTTTTTCTTCATGACTCAATCCAACAACCTCTGCTAACACACTTAATAAGAAAAAGAGGGAAGTTTTTAAAATAACAGTTATTTTCACCTTTCAAGAAAGAATGAATAGGAAACATAGACTGGATGGCAATTTTAATCTTGTCTAACTATAATTTCGATGTTTTAAATGTCAAGTTCTGGGCTGGAATATTCATTTGCTTCTGCAGCCTTTTGCTTCTCTCTTGCTGCATTTGGAAAGGAATCTGAAAATGGACTGCCCTTTCTGTGGAATTCATCAACTCTGTTTCATTCCACTGCTCTTAATACCAGGTCCCAGAACTGACATCCATTGCTTGTATGAGCATTGCACTATAAATGTCTGAACACCTCGACTGCATAGTCCTGTTAGTTTTGGCTATTAAATTGAATAATTTTTCTTTATAAGTCTCCATTTTACTTCAACCATTGAAAAGCTTGCTGGAGTCAAATACTGTCACATAATCAAAACTTGCAATTCCCTACTTCTATGAAGGTAGCAGTGATTTATTGCTTAATTGGAAACATCTTGTCCACAATTCTGTATCCCCTGGATTGATGTTTTTCAAATTATGCCACTATTGGGATATAAATGGTAACACACATTAGAAATAATGTTAATTACATAAAATAGAATCAGAAAACCTGTGGATGACTATCTGCGTTCTCTTGCTTATTCCTTCAAATATTCCATTTTTAGCTTAATTTTCTTTTGTAATTTGGATGTACTCCAGAGGAATTTTAAGTGCCTGTACTTCAAATAAAAGAGAAAAAAATAGAGCAGTTTGCTTCAAATTTGCCAAAATCATTTTACTCTTGTTGGCACTTGAAAATGTATGATCTTGGTGGACTGCCAAGGATTAAGGTTGGCGTTTTCTGATGAAAAAAAAAAAAGCAATGTATCACAGGAATATTTTCCATTTGCTAAATAATAGTTAAAGCTATTTATCTGGATTTAAGTAAAGGAAGAACAGACTTCAGTTCAAACTTATAATTTATAAAGTGTTTAAAAGAAAAACCACCAGTAAGTTTTGCCAGGTGTGGAACTTTCCATCATAGGATGTGACTGAGACTGTGACAGAAACAGTATTTTGTGTTCTGACATGAATATAGAAAGCGTCAGTGGAGTGCATGGTGTGGCAACATCCCCACTCACTTTTCCAACAATTTATATGTTCATTCCTTCAGTGAATGTTTTTTGAAGAGTGAGCCCAGCCTTGAAGCAGGCACTGTGAGCGATGCAAAAGCAGTGGAAGCTACAGTTCTTGCCTTCAAGACACTGCCATGATGCTTCCACACCTCTGAGCGTAGGCTGGCCCCAGACCTCGGTCCTTTGCCTCTTCTCAGTCTATGCTCTCTGCCCGACTGGTTTCACATTGTGAAAATACTATCAATAAATAGTCTGATGGCTCTCAAATTGATATTTCCAGCCCTAATCTTCATCCTCAAATTCAACAACCTACTCAACATCTTCACTTGGATGTTTGAATAGACACCTCAAATATAATTTACCTGTCCAAAGATTTATTCTTGAATTTCCCCCAAATCAACTCCTCCAATTCTTCTCTTCTCAATAAATGTCAGTATCATTCAGGTCAAAAACTTAAGGGTCATCCATTATTCTTTGCTTCTTGCCTCACATCTTCCATCAATTTTCAGCACTGGTAGTTTTCTTCTGTGTCAAATCTTGTTCCAGCAAAACACAGCTTCATAGAGAAGCCAAGGAATATGTTTTTTAGATAGTCATCAGGTCATATTACTATTCTGTCAAAAGCTTCCAATAGTTTCCTAATAAACTCAATACCATCAAAGTCCTTATCATGTCCTATAAGGTCCATGATGATCTTTCCAGATCTTCCTTCCTGGTTCTAGATAGATTTGTAGGATAACCAACTCACGTTACAGCCAAATGGCTTTCAGTAAATTTTCCACTCCCAAGCGTAGTCATATTTTCTCTCCATATGGCAAAGTGGCCTATGAAAAGTGCTGACAACAACAAGGCATTATTCAGTTCAATTCAGTCCTTACGGGACAGATTGGACATACACACTCTAGGAACACAGGGCCTGGGAGCTCAGCAGTGGAATGGGCTGGGTCATCTCATAGAAGAGATGCTTGAGGTTTGTCTTCAATGGATGGTTTGGTCATCCCTTTAACATAAAGAGAAGAGGTGGCAGGGACAATTTAAAGCGTGTAATATTGAAGAGATGACTGGTCCGACTCTGGCTAGCTCAGTAGCAGTACATGATACGTGTCGGGGGTGGGGGCACTGGAAGGAAGGCCTTAGGGTAGGCCCTAAAAATTCCATAGTCTTTCAGAAAACCTGAAACCTCTATAGGGTCTTGCTCAGGGTAAATAAAAAGTGTTTTCAGAGAATCATTCCAATATGGGCCCAGCAGTGTATTAGCCATCGGATGTGTAGTGGTAAGCACAACAGGCTGCCCTCATGGGGCTTCCCATCCAATGAGAACAAAAGACAAAAATGAGTAAACTCATAAACATAACATTTAAGTTAAGACAAGTGTCATTAGGAAAGTAGGGGGGCACTATAAAAAAGGTCGAAACAATGGGACTCCCTGGTGGCACAGCGGTTGAGCGCTGGGTTGCGAAGCTGCCCGCAGCCTCTGCAGCGCCGGTTCGATCCCCGGCTGCTCCCCGGCCACCGGAGGAGGGTCCCACATGGCGCGCAGACCTCTCCTGCCGCCCGCTGCTCCCCTCAGCAGTGTACTTTGGTCCTCCTGCCTGCTCTGCTCCCTGCTCTGGCTCTGGTGAATTCTCTCACCCTCCCGCGCTTCTGACTGTACCCAGTGCTTGTATGCATGTATGTATAAATCAATCAATCAATCAATCAATAAATCTTTGAAAAAAAAAGGTCAAAACTACTAGATTAGATAGTCAGGGAAGGCCTTTGAAGAAATGACATATAAACTGAGATCTAAAAGTTGAAAATAATGGGCCTCCCTGGTGGCCTAGGGGTTAAGTCCCAGTGCTACCACTGCGAAGGCCCACCACCTCAGCCTAAATTCAATCCCAATCCAGAGAGCTAATCCACATGGTGCAGCCATAAATGTTTCTAGAGAATATCATCTTTCAATATCAGGATAAATGGGCTTTTGTTTCTGTCAAGGTGACACCCATAGATCTCTGACAATGTTAAGATATGCTAAGTCAAGAACCACAGTATTCAGTGATACTATAAAATTTGTTCTAGAAATTGGCCTGCGTTTTATCACCTTAAAAAGCAATTTTTTCCCTACTGAATGTACAAACAAGCATTTCTCTGGGTCCTTAAAAATGCAGATTAGATTCTAGCTGCAATCACCTCCTTCCATCCCCCAGCAGTTCCCATTCAATATTTCTTTAAAGGCATTTGATTTTTAACTAATGTGCTAAGTGATTTTCATTGTAAGTAGTCATAAAACTACCCTTTGGGAAATAGCCAAGAGGAGAGTAGAAAATATCAATACCTTTCTGTCCAAGAATTTATAAGAATACCCAAGGAATTTATTGGAACTCTCTGCTCCAATGAATTCCATCTTTAAAAAAAAAATACTGAGTACTGACATGTTGTAATTTTTCTTCTATCGCAGACTGAAAGGCAAAATGAAATTTATAGTACTTGCTGCCACCATTGGGCTGACTTTGCTGCTAGGAGTTCAAGCCGTGCCTGCAAATCGCCTCTCCTGCTACAGAAAGACACTAAAAGATGGCAACTGTCACAACCTCCCAGAAGGAGTGGCTGACCTGACACAAATTGATGGAAACATCCAGGATCATTTCTGGGATGGGAAGGGGTGTGAGATGATCTGTTACTGCAACTTCAGCGAGTTACTCTGCTGCCCAAAGTAAGGACACATCATCATAAAACCCACTGCTGTGAGACATTACATGACGACTCCTGTTTCAAAGACACCTGCAGTGTGACTTTACTCACATTAATCATCTTTTTAGTAAAATCCTGTTTGAATCTCAGCTTCTTCTAGAAAGAATCATGACCATTGTGAGTGGTACTGAATGTTTTCATTTAAAAAACAGAGTTTGGCGGATTTGAATAAACCTATATGAAATCCAGAAAGTTAACAACACTACAATCTAAAAAAATTCTAAATTCCTCATCTGATTTTTACAACCAAAAAAAAAAAAAAATCCATCAGTAGCAGTTAATTTCAAGGTTGATGTGTTAAACTGATTTGAAAACTAATAAGATTTTAGATCAAGACTTCCAGTGAACAAGCTCAAGTGATTAACAGGACAGATAAATTTGATAATGATCAAAGAGAAAATTTCTAGGTCTATGTGTGAGTTAACCAGAAAGAAAGGAAATAAAAGCTATCTGCTGACTTGGAAATTAGATGTAGTTCCTAGGCTAATACAATGATTGATAAACCAATAGATTTTATTTGCTCTGGTTTTTAAAGCCATCATTCTATGATTTAAAGTCATCTTCCCTGGTTACTGAGAAATTTTCTAATACTGTGATCATGATGATTTCAAACTGAAATTTGCTTTTTCAAATGACTTATTTCCATATTTCCATATTGCCATATATTTCCATTTCTCTGCAAAGCCTTTGAGGTAGAAAGGGCAGATGTAACATCTCATCCAGGAGAAGTGCGGAGGCAAAATGACTAGCACCAAGTCACATAACAAGCTAAGATCAGCACAGAGACGAGAATTCAGGTCTTTTGATTTGACCAATCTTTTTTCAACCATGTCAGTTGGTTCTTACTGTGGGGTTCCCAGAGCAGCAACTTCACTATCACCTGAGTCCTTGTTACAAAAGCACATTCATCCTTGAGTCCCACATCAGACTGACTAAACCAGGAACACTGGAGGTGAGATTTAGCACTTTTGGTTTAACAAACCCTCCAGGTGATTCTGATGTGTGAAGCTGGAGAATCTCTGTACAAATAATACCAAGAAAGTGAGTTAACTAATGTAATGATGCAATGTTTCCCAAACTATATGAGTGAAATGCCACCTAACATTAAAATAGCATGCTTGCTTGCTCTTTTTGTAATTTTAAGTCTCGAATCCAATTCATTGAAATGTACTTGTATTTATCTTAACATACGATTTTGCAATTATCTGTGTAATAGATGAGAATAGACGTATGAATAGATAAAATTAATTTCAGACTTTGACTTATTTTTCCCCAGTAGCAGATTTACATTACTAAGAATATTCCCTTTTTTATTTTTAGTTTGTAGAAAATGCAAACTCTAATTCGCCATCTTATTTTTATTGAGATATAATTGACATATAGCATTGTAAAAGTTTAAGATGGGCAGCATTATAATTTGTCATATACTTAAATGGCGAAACGATCACCGGAAAGTTTAGCTAGCAATCATCACCACACATAGTTGCAAAAAAAAATTTATTTTTCCTTGTGATGAGAACTTTTAGGATATTCTCATAGGAAATTTCAACTGAACCACACAGCTGTATTAACTATATTTGTTGTGTTCTACATTATATGCTAAATATATTTCTAATGAGCCATCATGATACAAGCTTGCACATATATACATATATAATTTTATATTATTCCATGTGTTAAATACATTACCTTATGTGATTTTTTCCAGCAAGAGTAGTCTAACAGTTCTCCTTCACTAGAAAACCTAGATGTTTATGTATTGGCTTTCTGAGAAACTTTTAATCATCTGTTTTTTACCTACACTTTTAAATTTCATGGTCTATTCCCATCCATATCAGAAAAATGATTTTTTTTTGGTAAAGGCTTTAAATCACCCGAGTTCTCTTTTTCTTTATAGATAAGTGCTAGTATAACATCAATGGCAAATGGGGGGAAAGTAGAATTGATTACCTTCTTGATTCTTGTTGCTCCTGTGGCAAGTCCTCACACTGATGCTCTTTGTACTTTATTCACCTAAAAAGAATAGTCATATCTGAAATCCTGGAAATCATTGTCCATTTTTTAGCCTAAAGAAGACTTAGCTTTCAGCTGAATTTAATTGATGTTCTACTTTCTTTCAGAGATGTCTTCTTTGGACCAAAGATCTCTTTTGTGATCCCTTGCAACAATCCCTGAGAATCTTCATGTATTCTGGAGAACCATCCCCGATTTCCTACAAACTGTACTGTCAGTGTGACCGCACTCTAGATTCTGCCCAGCAAAGAAAGAACAAATGTTATAAATTCCTACTTACCTAGGAGAAGTAAACTTGTGTGAAATAGCAGCAATAAAAATGAATTCAATTTAAGTTTTTCTCTGTGGACATTGTTGGCACTAGTTAAAATTTATGCTAGAAAATTTTCTTCCACAAGGTATTCATTGTCTTAGTACAAGAGTTCTGTCCCCCAGATGAGTAGCCATAATCTGCTCATGGATTGAGAAAACTCACATTTAGTTGATAATTTTTGACCACATATACTTAATGGAAAGAATCAGATATAAACTGCGGTTGTTGGAAGAAAAACTACATGCTTCCCATTAAGTGGAGAAAAGGTAACCAATATTTGAGTATATATATACATGCCAAGTATTTTAAGTACATTTTCATTTTATTCTCTTAGAAACAATTAAATAAAACCTTCAAGACAAGTATTCTCAAACCCAGTTATCAGATGCTGAAATTTAAGATGTTTGTGAAAATACAAGGCAGACTTTAAAAAATTCTAATTTCAAAACCCATACTTCACATTCACACACACAACTGTATCTTTACAACTGTAATACAGATACCTGATGTGTCAATTTTTGAGAAGAAAACACACTAAAAGAAACATGTAATAGATAAGAATTTGAAAAATCACATGAATTTGCAAGTAAAACAGATGTTTTCTAAGAAATTTTCTAATGGTTTGAGGAAGCTTTGGACTAAGTTCCCATGCATTAGGAGATACGCATTGATAAATGGGTACTCAGGAAGTGCTTCATATGCAGACATTTCATTAGATGCTTGCTAAGCACCAGCTGTTACATTTGAGGATGTGGTAATGAGTAAGAACTTGCCCTCTTGGAACTTGCATTCTAACAAAAGTGTAATAATTAAAATTATTTATAAATGTTAAACCTAAAGGGCGCTATTCAAAGTATTGTTGGGGGGGCCTCACTGGTGGCGTAAGGGGTTAAGCACTGCACTATGAAGCAATCTGCAGCCTCTGCAGCACGAGTTCGATCCCTGGTCAGCCAGGGAGCAACACACATGGTGAGGCAGACCCCTCCTGTCTCGCCCACTGCTCCCCTCAGCAGTGTATTTCAGTCAGTCTGCCTGTTCTGCTCCCTGCTCTGTCTCTGGTGAATCCTTTCACCATCCCCATCTCTGGCCTGTACCCCAGTTCTTGTATGCATAAATAAATAAATAAATCTTTTAAAAAAAAAGTATTGTTGGGGAAAGGTTTGAGAAGCATGGAGTTTTCAATAGCATGAAGTTTTCGATATCATATAGTAACACTAAGGGGTATTTCTTGTAAATAATTTCATTGAAATACATTCTTGAAGATATCTGATCTATTTCTAATGACCACATCCAGAAAAGTATCTGGTATCCATTCAGTGCTCAATAAGTTTTTCTGGACATGACCAAGCAATTTTAAGGTAGTCAAATTCTAGTTATTGCAAAATCTGCACAAATAAAAGTCAGAACATGTTTTTAAATAGTGTGACCTCCTACAATAATGCATAAAGAATAGAATTGCTTTAAAAATCAAATTCATAGTTTAATCAAAATATTATATGATTTGTTTGGACTTTTTTTCTTTGACTGAATTGGGCTACTATTAAAATTAAACTAACTAGACAACAAACTAGTCCAACCACTATGGAAAGCTGTGTGGAGATTCCTCAACCTGCTAAAGATGGAGCTTCCATATGATCCAGCAATTCCACTCCTAGGTATTTACCCAAAGGACATAGAAACATTAATTCAAAAGGGCACCTGCACCCCTATGTTTATTGCAGCACTATTTACAATAGCTAAGCTATGGAAACAACCCAAATGCCCAAAAGTAGATAACTGGATCGAGAAGATGTGGTACATATACACAATGGAATATTACTCAGCAATCAAAAAAGACAAACTCATGCAATTTGCAGCAACATGGATGGAGCTGAAAGGATCATGCTCAGCGAAATAAGCCAGAAAGAAAAAGAAAAATACCAGATGGTCTCACTCATAGCAGGAATTTAGAAAACCTAAATTAGAGACCAGGAAAAAGACTAATTGCAATAAAGTGAAAATCAAAATCAACAAGCAACTATAAACCAGAGATACACTACACGGTGGGGAGGAGGGAGTAGGATCAAAACAAGGGGGGGTAGGATTTGTATGGGGACGAACTATAACCAAGATGAAAATGCATACATTGTGCAAAAATGAAAAATGATGTAAAAAAACATGAAATTAAATTAATAATAATAATAAAAATAAATAAACTAGACAAGGAAGTCATACCTTTTCTGGAACAGCACACAGCATAAGTAAAGAAAATGATCTGTAAACTTATTTAATTTTCTACTTTGTAGAGACTCTCTTTGAGGGAGAGTTAAAGACTCATTATCTCTATTTATAAATGACCTATCAGTTCGTGAGCTTACGTGAGGCAACAGTGACTTTTTCATGTGCATTCCATTATTATTGCATTTAAAAACTGATGAGAACAGTATTTGAAAAAAAGATAAATTTTTAATAAATGGAATTTTATAGATTATTATGATTATTGTTCATCATATTCTCTTCTTTCTGGAAATAACTTTGAAATATGAGATTCGATTACTCGTTTCTTTTAGAAACAAGTACAGTATAGAGGCAGACATTCTTCTTTATACTATACTACCAAGTAAATTTAAGACATTAATGTTCACAACTTACCTTATGGAAATTTTTTTCTGACTAGTTCATTATGTTTTTAAAAGCAAGTATTTCATTCAATCATATTAATGAATAAATATTTTGTTTTTTCAATAGTATTTAGTTAAGCTTAGTTAAGAGAAGATAATTAGGGCCTCCCTGGTAGCTTAGGAGATAAGTCTCAGCACTATCAGCACTGCTGAGTTCGATCCCTGCCTAGGGAACTAATCCATATGGCACAGCAGACCTGTCCTGTCTCACCCACTGTTCCCCTCAGCAGTGTATTTCAGTAGATCCGCCTGTTCTGCTCCCCACTCTGTCTCTGGTGAATCCTCTCACACCCTGCACCTCTGCCCTGTATCCCAGTTCTTATATGCATAAATAAATGTTAAAAAAATAGATTTTAAATTAAAAAGTTATTAGAAAAGACAAAGACATTTGTCTTTTTTATTACTAATATTGTTAAATAGGTCAGTAACAATATCTAAGAATTATAAATATACATGTATCAAACAACAGAGCCAAAGAATATATAAAGCACAGATAGACCTGAAGGGAAAAATATTCAATTTTGGAGATCCCAGTATCCTACTATAAATAATGGGTAGACATCTAGACAAAAGATTAATCAGGAAATAGAGGACTTCAATACTATAAACTAACAATACCTAACAGATACATACAGAACACTTTACCCAAGACTAGCAGAATATACATTCTTCTGAAGTGCATACAGAATATTCTTTAGGATAGAATATATAGTAACATAAACAGTCTTCCATAGTTCTTTTTAAAAATTGAAATAATTGGAACTATTTTTTCTAGTCATGGTGGAATGAAGCTAGTAAATAACAAATGAATGAAAATCGGAAAATCAGCACGTATGTGGAAATTAAAAAATACATACTAACAACCAGCAAGTCAAGGAAGAAATCACCAACTAGGAAAACTGGAAAATATTTTGAGATGATGAAAACAAAAACAAAACATAGGGCCTCCCCGGTGGCGCAGTGGTTGAGCACTGGGTTGCAAAGCTGCCAGCAGCCTCTGCAGCACCAATTTGATCCCCGGCCGCCAACGAGGGTCCCACATGGCGCGAAGACCTCTCCTGCTGTGCCCACTGCTCCCCTCAGCAGTGTATTTCGTCAGTCTGCCTGTTCTGTTCCCCGCTCTTTCTCAGGTGAATCCTCTCACTCTCCCGCAACTTCTGTTACCCCAGTGCTTGTATAAATAAATAAATAAATAAATCTTAAAAAAAAAAAAAAACATATTGAAAGTAGTGAAAAAATATTCAGAAGGAAATTTATAACTATAAATGTCTACATTAAAAAAATCCCAAATCAACTTTGCACTTTTGAAAAAGTTGAGCAAACTTAATAAAAAACTAGCAGAAGAAAAAGAGCAAACAAAGCAGTGTCAAAGAAGGAAATAATAAAGATTAGAGCAGAGATAAATGAAATAGAGTAGAATAACAACAGAATCAAAGGAGCCAAATAAAAGACCAACAAAATTGACAACTCTTAGCTAGACAACTGATGCAAATAACTAAAATTAGACATAAAAGCAGAATTATTACCGCCATAGAAATTTAGAGAATGATATGAATAATTATATGACAACAAATTTGATAATCTAGATGAAATGAACAAATGTATCCTAAAAACACAAAATATCAAAAAGGACTCAAGAAGAAATAAAAAAATCTCAACAGTCCTATTATAATCACCAATTCAATCAGTACCGATTGAATCAGTAATAAAAAATCGTCCATCAAAGAAATTTTCTAGATTAAATATGTGCATTTAATCAAACATTAAGATAAACTAATGTCAGTTCTAGTTAATAGTTTCAAAAAAAATAGAAGAGGAAATATTTCCATGAAGCCAGTACTTGGACTACATAAAAACTCAAAAAGTTTTTTGCATCAAAGAACATGTTCAAGAATGCAAAAGGCAATCTGGAGAACGAGAGAATATACTTTCAAATCAGGCATCAGATAAGGATTTAATATCCAGAATAAAGGCCCTCCCGCAACTCAACAACAAAAAGACAACAAACCAATCAAAAAATGAATAAAGAACTGGAATGGATATTTCTCCAAAGAAGATACACAAAGGACTAAGAAACACTTGAGGAGATGTTCAGTATCATTCATGATTTAAGAAAGGGCAAGCAAAACCTGAGAGATACCATCTCACACCCAGTAGGATGGCTTCAAGTAAAAAAAAAAAAAGTGGAAATCCAAATGTCTATCAACAGATGACTGAATAAACAAATGGTGGACACACACACAATTACACAGACATTAAAAAGAATGAAGTACTGATAAGTGTTGCAACTTGAGCTTTGAAAACACTACAATGATGGAAAAAAACAAACACAAAAGGACATATGGGCATACCACATTTTACTGTGTTTTGTTTTATTGTGCCTCACAGATAGTGCATTTCTTTTTTGGCAACTTAAGTCTTGGCTCTATTTTTTCCAACAGCATGTACTCACTTCATGTCTGTAGCACATTTTGGTAACTCTTGAAATATTTCAAATTCTTGTATTATTATTATCTGTTACGGTGTCTCTGATCAACAATCTTTGACATTCCTGTTGCAATTGTTTTGGCACACCATGAACCATACCCATGCACTAACACAAATGCGTGTTGTGACTGCTTGACCTACCAGTCATTGTCCCACTTCTCTCCCTTCTTCAGGCCTTATTCCCTGAGGTAAAATACTAAAATGAGAGCAATTAATAACACACAATGGTCTCTGTGTGTTTAAGTAAAGGGATGAGTTAGACATCTGTCACTTTAAGTCAAACACTAGAAATAAGCAGGCTTAGTAAGAAAGATATGCTGAAAGCCAAGAGGGGCCAAAAGCTAGGCCTCTTGTGCCAGTCAGCCAAGATGTGAATGTAAGGGAAAGTTCTTAAAGGAAATTAAAAGTGTTACTCCAGTGAACAACAAATGAGAAGAAAGCCAAACTGGGCCTCCCTGGTGGTGCAGCGGTTGAGCGCTGGGTTGAGAAGCTGCCCACAGCCTCTGCAGCGCCGGTTTGATCCCCAGTTGCTCCCCGGCCACTGGAGGAGGGTCCCACGTGGCGCGCAGACCTCTCCTGCCACCCGCTGCTCCCCTCAGCAGTGTGCTTCGGTCCTTCTGCCTGTTCTGCTCCCCGCTCTGGCTCTGGTGAATTCTCTCACCCTCCCGCGCTTCTGACTACCCAGTGCTTGTATGAATAAATAAATAAATCTTTAAAAAAAAAAAAAGAAAGCCAAACAGCTTCATTGCTGACATGGAAAAAAAATCTGTGGTCTGCACAGGAGATCAAATCAATCACAACATTCCCTCCAGCCAAACCTAATTAGAGCTAATTGATTCTCTTCAATTCTATGAAGGCTGAAAGAGGTGGAGAAGCTGGTAGAAAAGCATGAAAGGTAGTAGAGGATGGATCATGAGGTTTAAGGAAAGAAACCAACTCCCTAACAAAAAGGTACAAGGCTAAGCAGCAAGTGCTGATGTAGAAGCTGCAGTATAAGTTATCAAAAAGATCGAACTAAGGTTATTGATGAACGTGGCTAACTACGTGGCTAACTAAACGACAGATTTTTCAATGTAGATGAAATAGCCTTCTACTGGTAGGCTGTCCAGGACTTTTATAGCTGGAGAAATCAAAGCCTGGTTTCAAAGCTTTGAAGACTAGACTATCTCTCTTGTTAGGAGATAATGCAGTTGGTGACTTTCAACTGAAGACAATACTCATTTATCATTTTGAAATCCTAGGGTCCTTAAGAAGTTTGGTAAATCTACTCTGCCTATGCTCTATAAATTAAACGAGTAGATACCAGCACTTCTGATTACAACATGGTTTACTGAATATTTTGAAGGCCACTGTCGAGACCTGCTACTCAGAAAGATTCCTGTCAAAATACTAGTGCTAATGAATCTGGTCACTCCAAAGATCTGATGAAAGTGTACAAGTGGATTAAAGTCATTTCCATAACTGCTAATAAAACAACTATCCTACAGCCCATGGATCGAGGAGACATTTTTACTTTCCAGTCTTATTAATTAATACATTTTATAAGGTTATAGCTGCCATAGGTATTCCTCCAATGGATCTGGGTAAATTGAAAATCTTCTTGAAAGGATTTGCCAGTCTAGATGCCATAAAGAACATCCTTGATTCATGCGAAGAAGCCAAAGTATTGACATTATCAAGAATATGGAAAAAATTGATTCCACATCTCAAAGGACTTTGAGAAGCTCAAAACTTCAATGAAAGAAGTAGCTGCAGCTGTGGCAGAAACAACAAAGAAACTAGAAGTAGAGCCTGAAGATGTGACTGAACTGCTTGCAATCTTGTGATCAAATTTTAATAACTGAAGAATTGTTTCTCAATGAATGAGCAAAGAAAGTCATTTCTTGACATAGACTCTACTCCTGGTGAAGAGGCTGTGAACATTATTGAAGACAACAAAGAGGTTTACAGTATTACATAAATTTAGTTGATCAAGTGGTGACAGGACTGAAGAGGATTGACTCCAATTTTAAAAAAAGTTCTACTTATAGGGCCTCCCTGGTGGCGCAAGGGATTAAGACGCAACCTATGAAGTTATCCATAGCCACTACAGCACGAGTTCGATCCCTGGCCAGGAAGCTACCCACATGGCACAGCAGACCTCTCCTGACTCGCCCGCTGCTCCCCTCAGCAGTGTATCCCCGTTAATCTGCCTGTTCTGCTCCCCACTCAGTCTCTGGTGAATACTCTCACCCCCCCACACCTCTGGCCTGTACCCTATTTCTTGTATGCATAAATAAATCTTTAAAAAAAAGAAAAAGTTGTACTTATAAAATGCTATGAAATAGCATGACATGTAACACATCTTTCCTAAAAGGTAGAGTTCATCAGTGCAGCACAATTTGGCTTTTCTGTCATATTTTAAGAAACTGCCACAGCCACACCACCCCCCCCAAATCAGTAAGTAGTCACCAACACCGAGGCAAGATGCTTCACCAGATTACAACTTGTTGCAGGCTCAGATGACAGCATTTTTTAGCAAGTGTTTTTAAATTAAGGTATGGACTTTGGCTTTTCAGGCATACTACTATTGCACACTTAATACAGTGTAGACATAACTTTCATATGCACCGAGAACAGAAAATTATGTGCGATTTGCTTTAATATTCATTTTATTACATTGGTATGGAACCCAACCTGCAATGTCTCTAGTGTGTGCCTCTATGTTGCATGATTCCCTCTGTATGATACATGCGCAACAGGCAAGTTCAAAGAAATAGGAGGTGGACTGGAGAGTCCCAGGGGGTTGGAGGAGGGAGGGTAAAGGAGAAATTGGGATCATTTATAGGGTGATAAAGTTTTGAAATTTGAGCTGGTGGTTGCATAACACGTGCCTAAACACCAAAAACTGTACAATTTGAAATGGTTGTGTATGTTATGCAAATTTCACCTCAATTTAATGACTTTACATAGACATAATATAGAGCTTATTTTCCTAAATACATTAATTTCAGGTATTACTTTCCAGTCTTAAATTGTTCAGTAAAAGGTAGTTAGCAAATAGATTTATTTCCTAAGCCCCTGTTTTCTTCTTTCTACCTCAATGGCAATTTTGGATTCTTCTCCTAGTGCTCTAATATTAAAAGTACCTTTTATAGATATGAGTTTGGTTTTTTTGATTCGGATAAAGATTTCTTGTGAATTCATAATTTTCTAAATCCAATTCTTTAATTTTAAAGAATTAAGATGTTTACATAAAACTTACTTTAACACTTGAGTTCCTCAGCTTTGATGAGGTTCTTAAGTTCTCAATTTTTTAGGTTTTTAAATTGTTCTCACAAGGATTTAATTTCATTGGATAAGCAACATCCTGCAGTCTTTCACTTTTTATCCGACTATGGAAATAAGCAACTACATGAAACTTATATTGTTAGTCAAAGGTTCTATTTATACACGTTAGTGTTAGCAAATAACTTAAGTTTTCACACAAAAAAAGGTTTCTATGGGATAAAAACATAAAAAAATAAGTCCTTAAAATGTGGCCATGATACTATCTTCAAATAGGCCATCACTTCTTGTAGCTATGTGGTTCGTTTTTGTACAGCTTAAGAAAAAACTCAGAGATTTCTGGAATACTAGAAATGAGGTTTCTATACTACTAATTATCACAGCCTCTGCTCAACAATAAAGCAGCAAGTAAGTCTTTCAAAGGTCATAGCAAGCATAAAGACCAACTGCTTTACAGTTCACCACCTCTTCTAGCTGTCCAGATACTTTGAACACTTAGAAATATGCAGACTCACCTTTTTTTGAACCAGAACTTTCGAGTTAGCTACGTCAGTGGTTCTCCACCAGGGTGCATTTATCCCCCACAGGATGTTTGGCAATGTTTAGTGATACTTTTGCTGTCACACCTTCAGAGTGCCATTGGCACTAGTGTGTGAACTTCCAGGGATGCTGCTAACCCTACAACACAGAGGACGGCCTCGTGCAATAAAAAAAAAAGAATCATCAGGTCCAACTGCCAACCTGAGTTACATTAAAGGTCTATCCATTTCCAGTCTTCCCTGAAGCTGCTATTCTTTATTTTAATGTCACAAGCTATAAGATTGATTTGTAATAATAAGTACTTGGCTAAGCAATACAATCCCAGGAAAAGCAGAGGTTAAAATATTTAATAGAAAAATGACAGAATGAAATATAAAAAGAAATTATAAAATCAGAGCTGTCTGATCAAAAGTTAAAGATCTTGTTAGATTTGCAGATTATTTCAATAGATTATTTGAATTTGCAATGTAAACAGTATAGGACATGACTGAAAATTAAGAAGCAAAGCTAAGATTCCTTCTACATTCATGCCACAAAAATAACTTTTCTCTAAAACAAAATTTAAAGATCTAATTTTATGTTCTTATTTCAACTTGCAGCAATGTACTTAACTTTACTGGCACATAAGTCACCTCTGGAGGAAGGAAAGCATATAAATAAATTAAATTGTGCGATTCCAATTACTTCAGGTAGCATCAGAAAATAATATACATGACCAAAAAAAAAAAAGGAATAAAAAGCATTGCATCCCAATGGAGTATTTTTCAAACCTGGCAGCACTGAAAAGCACTTTAAAAAATATTGCTCTTTAAGATACCCTTCCTTCCAAATCAGACTGCCCCAGAAAAAACAACAAACGTGCTATGTTTGTTACTTTCCCTCAATCTGTTAGTTTCTTAGAATTGAAAAAAAAAAAAAGGGGGGTGGGGGGCGGGCAACAAAATATACATTAAAATCTCAACACTGGTCCCTAAAAGTCAGTTTAAAATAAAAATCAAGTTTCACAAAATAAATACACTGAAGCAACTATAATAGTAATAACCTTTATTTAAAATACTTTTTAATCTAGGAAAGCTCATTTTACATGAGTTTCCAACTAATTATTAGAGTCAGGAACAAAGAAAATAAAATCAGAGAAAATCCTCTGTAGAAAAAATACACAAGGAACATTTCTACATGTGAAAAAACAATAAACAGTCTTAACATCTGAACATCCAAGTCTTAGTCTCAATTCCATCTCTCCTAGTGAACACCACTATCAACCTTGAGATCTGATTTGTTCTTGTCATTCTTCACTGAGTAGATGAAATATGTTAAGGTGTCTTTTTCATTCACTGGAATAGACCTAAAGTGGCAACCAACTATCTATAAAGAAAAAAAAAAATTGAGGAAATTAAATTATAGATATTAACAGATTTCATAAACTAGGCAAAAAGACATTTCATCAAAAGAAAAAGTGCTAGGTGATGATAAGAGCTGTTCCTTTAAAAATTATGTTGTATTTAACAAGGTACCAACAGGATGAAAACATGATGTTACGAACAAGAAATAGTGTGATTTCAAAGAATTCCTCAGCCCACTCAATTAAATCTACATTAACTAGCACCTGTATTTTTTCAAAATTCTTTATGTTGGAGTCTAGATTAGGAAGTCAATTATTTTTACTTTAAATATCAATGAAATAAGACAGAAGGTAAGAGATCCACATGCTTTGTGCAATGGTGTAGGCCCTACTCCTAGGGAAGGGATAAATATGAAGTGGGAACATACTGGCACTACAGAAACAAACCATAACATATCTTTCAAATATGTTTGCTACAAAATAGATTCATTCATTCACGCATTCATTCATTCAGTAGCTGTACTCTTTGTTCAGGTTCCTTTAACATTTTTCTGAATGAAAGTTATGGGTGGTGGGTAATCAGAGAGAGGTTCATTGAAGTTTTCTCTGTGCTAATATAACATGCGTGCTGCAACTACAGGCGTGCAAGAATAAACTGGATCGTTGATATGCAAACAAAGATTCCAGAAGACAAAATTTTTTAAGGAAAAGTTATTCACGTGATAATTAATAGATTTAGAAGTATAGTTATCCAACTCTGGATCACTTATGAATATCTGACTAGGTAAACTCTAACATTCATGGCTATTTGGGGGTATAGTTCTCATTTCTTAAAAAGAAAAAGCTCCAAAAATAGTATTCTTTTTCAGATTAGCTGATCAATAACTTCAGATTTGATTTCAGAATTTAAAACATACATACATTTAAGAATAACATTTCAAATAATATGTTTTTTGGTTCTTATTTGTCCCAAAGGCACTGTCATAGGTTAGTATCCGTACATATTGATATAGTTTCATCATGGTAGTCAACATCTGTATTTATGTTACAATAATGTACTATCCTAGATCTTTTAAATGAAATTTAAAGAAAAGTTGGGTTTCTGTTTCCTAGGCAAGAAAGAAAAGAAATTCTGGCAAAACAGTTAATATATTGAATCTTTACAGTGTTAAAAAAGCATTCTGCTAAAGAAATGTACCTTCTGTTCATCTTTTCTTAGTCAATATGCCTACTTCACAAAATGTTAAACTACTAATTCAAGTTGAAGAATATGAGAAAACTGATTTATATTTACATTTCTATTCTATCTAGTAAGCAGTTTTATTCTACATATGATAAGAACAGAAATACACACATCTAAAAATCTCAATGTGATGCACAGACTTCCTGGTTCTATTATTTCCTGAGAACATATAAACATACACACACACTCAACTTTTCAAAATCCACCAAAGAACTAGACATCCCATATCAGACTCTATATAAAAGCGTAGATAAAAGTCTGATATTTCTAGATGTGAGCAAAACATGGACACCCCAAAACAAACATCATCGGAACAAATCCTGAAATAATGAAATCAGCTTTCTAATTTATTTTATGTCTCAATCGGGTGTTTAATGAATGTTTACTGAGTAAATGGTTTAAAAACCAATAGGTTTAAAAACCAAACTAAAAACTTTCTACTCAAAATTTCTGAAAGCCCGTGTTAAGAGGATGCTTAGAGAACAACATGTAATCCAATGAATAGTCATCACATAAGGCATTTCCTATCTGGAAGACAAACATTTTTGGCAACTAGATTCTTCCACAAAAGATATGTAAATACTTTGATCTTGCCAAATAAAATGCATTATTACATATACTACATTAACAATTGGACTAGTATTCAATGCTGCCATTGTTTATATGAACGGTTCATTTAAAGTTTAAGTAGTTTAAAATTTATATATACCTCAACAAGTTGTGCTTTATTAAGTCCTGGTCTGGTTGGTAGCTTGAAGTGTCTTTTGTATCTCCTAAGTGTATTTACTTGTAATTGGTACAAATCAACCTAGAAAAAATTCACATATATGAGTTAGTTCATAATATATTTTGAAAATTTATTTCTGATATGTAAAACATTTCAACTTCAATATAATACATATTTAATTCCATTACTTTAAAAGACCACACAATCAAAACTATAATTGTATTAAATACTTTAATCTATCAAGGATAAAATATTTGAAGCAAAAATGTTATAAGACAACAGACCTCTAAGAATCATCAATTGAAAATATACAAGTCAGGCAGGGGTTAAAAACACAGCACTGTCAAGCTATTACCAGCCACTGCAACCGGTGCGCTCCATTCCCAGCCAGGGAGCTAACCCACTTGGCGTAGCAGACCTCTCCTGTCTTGCCTGCTGCTCCCCTCAGCAGGGTGTTTCAGTGGATCTGCCTGTTCTGTTCCCCACTCTGTCTCTGGTGAATTCTCTCACCCCCCCCTAACCCCCCCACCAACCTCTGGCCTACATCATTTTTAGGAAAGAAAATACACAAGTCAAACTGTGTAACTCCATGTTAACGGGCTGTATTTAATTTTGCTTTCATTTTCACATTTAAGTATTTTTAAAGTATGTCCGTATCTTTCTATAAAAGTCACAGGGTGGGCTATTTAAGATTCACATTTAACACACAAAAACTGGTATCTACCTCTGGAGTATCAATATCTTGAACAGGTGAATCTCCTCCGTCATCGTCACTCCCTTTTCTCTTTCTTCTGTTTCGAACACTCTGAATTAAGTTTTTATGATAATCACAAATGTAAAGATGCCTTGCCTGAAACAGAAAAGTTTCACAGACTGCTTACGATGGCAGTGAAGTACGTGCACTAACCAAGCACACAGCCTGTAGGAAATAAGAGACAGTCCAAGCAGGCCGTTCTCAAGACACAAGTTGCTTTCACTCTCAAATCCTGCACCCAGGACAAACATACCAAGTCTGGCGATACAGTTAAGAGGATTGTGGGGGTGGAGTGGGGAAGGTGCCAGCAAGGAAAGGAGGGAGCAGAGGACGACGAGAAATTCCAGCCCTCTGGGTTTTGTCGGCAAATTGCAGTGAGGGTGAACGAGCTCGGTTAGGTCACGTTTTCATTCTTTTTTTTTTTAACAAGGGGAAAGGACGTCCGCAATGACACGATCTGGTAGCATTTTTTCCCATGTAAAGAGCATACTTTAGTAACACAAGTGTGTGTCCTTACCGTTCTAACACGACACCCGAACTGCAGTTAACACGAAACGACCCAGCTCTACTAGGGAGCTGTGGATTTCATGTCCTAACTGCATGCAGACCTGAACGACAAACTCTTCTTTCTGAGTAACAAATGCGTTTATCTGCAGCGCGTCTTTCCAAACAAAGCAAAATGAATTATCCCAGTCCACCGTCCAGGCTGCTCCGGCCCCCGCCCGGGAACTGCTCGCGCAGGCAGAGAGCAGCGCAAACTTTCCCGAGCCTCTCACCACACGCCGTCTGCAGCGCTGCCCGGCAGCTCGGGCAAGGCTGCGGTTCGTAACGCAGCGGCTCGTCACGCCTTAAAATAAAAACTAAGGGCTGCGCTAAAAGCCCTTTTACTTGGAACCCAAGTGCAGGTTAAAAATACGCAGGGCGTGCGCCGGGCTCTGACATCTTGTTATTCATTTACCGCCAGCCGGCGCTCGGAGGGGCGCTCCTTTAGGGCTTGTTTGGAGAAGCCTCGCGGACGGTCCCCGGCACCGGCGCGCGGGGGACGGAGGAGGAAACCCCGAAGGCTGCCAGATCGGGGGGGCGGGGGGGGACACCGCAGAGGGTCCGCGCTCCCCGCGTCCGCAGCGGCTGCCCCGGAGGCGGACCCCGCGCCCCGCGCCCCGCAGCCGCTTCCCGCGCGCTCCGGGCCGGGCAGGGGCGGGACCGAGACGGTTCCAGGCCGCGGGGTCCGGTCCCGACCGGGCTCCGCGCCCCCGAACCCGGGGAGCGACTCCCCGGGGCCACTCGCCAGCCTCGGCAGCAAAACAAAGAAGGCGCCTCCATTCCAGGAGGAGCTGCCGGGCTGGAGAACACGACCCCGGGCCCTCGGCGCGGCGGCCCCCTTTGTTTGGCTTCGCGATCGCAGCCGAGGGGGAAGGGGGGCGCGGGGGGCGCGCGGGGCGCGGGCGGGGACCCCGGCGTGCCCAGGGGCGCGTCCGCGGAGGGAGGCGCCCGAGTGGCCGCCCTCGGGCCGGCTCCCCGCACCGCCCCGCGCCCGGCCCGCGGCAGCCAGGTCTTGGGGGGGCGCGCCCCTGAACCCCCGCCGCAGCGCCCCGGGGCGCGGGGCCGCCGTCCCGCCGCCACTTACGCTCTTGTCCAGCTCGATCTTCACCTTCTTCTGCGAGATGCTCTTCTGGATCCTCTTGCTGAAGCTGGCGTTGCCCGCCGCGCGGCCGCAGCGCTCGCCGTCCTCGCGCAGGCAGCACAGCTGCCCGGGGCCCGGCCCGCCGCGCCCGGGGGCCCGGCCGCCGCCCCCGCCCCGGCGCCGGGCGCCTCCGCCCCGCCGCCCGCCCCGGCCCCGTTCCCGGCCGACGCGGCGGCGGCCGCGGCCGCGACCACGGCGGCCACCGCGGCGGCCGCGTCCCCGCCGCGGCTCATCTCCTCGGGCGTGAAGCCGTTCATGGCCGGGCGCCGCCGCTCCGCCTCCGCCGCGCGGGGCCCCTCAGACGCCCGCCGGGGGGCGGCGACTCGCTCCGCGCCCCGAGTGCTCCGGCGGCGCGGCCGCGCGCGCGGCGTCCCCGGCCTGCGGGAGTCGGCGGGCGCCGGGCGGGCGGGCGGCGCTCGGGGTCGCGAGCGGGAGTCGGGGGCGCCGGAGCGGGACCCGCTCCTGTCACATGGAGTCGCCTCAGCAGTTGGCCCGCGGCGCCCCGCCCCCTCCGGCCCCTCGCCCCGCGCAGGCGCGAGGCGCCCGCTCGGGCCCCGCCCCCGCCGCGCGCCGCGAGGCACCACGGGAACTGTAGTTCTCTGCGGGGGAGTCCCCCTGAGCTCCGCCCCGGTCCGGCGCCCAGCGCGTTGGGGGAACTACTGATCCCAGCGTGCAGCGCGCGGCCGCTAGCCGGGCGTTTTCTAAGCACGAGGAAAACAGGGGCGAGTGTTTGGGTGGCGGGGCGTGCGCGGGCCCCGTCTCTCCCGGGAAGTTGGGGGGCGTTCAGGTCTTGGGGTTTGACAGAGTTGGTGACTCAGGAGAGGTCAGCCAACTCTTGAGGAGAAGCCCCAAACCCCGGGAGGCTGGAAAGGAGAAGGGAGAGGGAGGAAAAACAAGTTTCGGGATCGTTGTCGTCCGTGTGGAGACGATCGCGGGGTGGCCGCGTCCTCGGGGCGCGCGGGCCGGGAGCGCGGGCGAGGGGGCGCCCCGGGCCCTGCTCCGTGGCTGTGCTCCAGGCCACCCCGAGGCGCTACGGGGGCGCCCCTCCCGGCTCGCGGCCCGCCGCGGGCCTCCCCGGGTGCCCCCGCGCGCCGGCCCCTGCGGGGGACACACTCGCTCGTGCGAGCCGCTCCCCGAGGCGGAGCTACCCGCCAGTTGACAACAGGGCGTTTGGCCGCCACCCCCAACCTTTTCAGTTTCTCCTCGGGTGACCCTGGGGAGGGGCGGGGCTTAAGGCCCGGGAAGGGGAGGGGGGACCCCCCCAACACAGTCAGCAGAGGGAGCCTCGGAAACTTCCCAGCGATCGCCCTTTGGAGCAAGAGGGGAGAACGAAGGCGCATTTTCTGGGGGGTCTGCACGCACGTGTGCCCGGGGGGGCGGGGGGCACACTCGTGTGCTCGCGCCTGCGTGCACGTGGGCTCGCGCTGGTGCCGGGCTGGGCTGGAGGCTCCAGAGGCTGCTGTGACAGCTGCACCTTCGCTCGACACAGCCATTACTGACCAGCAGGTTGGCCCTGTTTTAACAATCCCTTATTCAAACGAAAATACAAAGCAGTAGGGTTTTTTGAAAGTTCTTTTACAGTTGCAGAGCAAATTTAGTGATAGAAAATTAGTGGTGGGTGATGTTTTTTCATGCAAATTTAAAGCCATCCATTCATTTCCATCTGTGCGCTTCCATCCTGGGATATGGCAAAGGGAAAAAAAACGAAGTTAAAATATTGCACAAGTTAAGTGGGCAAGAGAAAGATGCTGAATGGTAAGTAATTTGTGTTGTTTTCTTAAGCTACTTTGTTTAGTAGGATGTCTGCTGGCCCTACGTAGCGATGGACTATGGTTATTGCTACTGAAAATCTGGATTGTTAAATTTAAAAACTGATTTTAGTTATTGGACAACTTTTAAGTACGTTTGGAACAATCTGGAAATGTATTTTTTCAGGTTAAATTTTCTGAAATCTGTAGTTAGCATCTGAAGACAGTGGAATTTCACAGTTCCTAGCAGAAATTTTAAAAGGATATTGAATAGCTTGCCAGTAAGTTTTACATTAGTTATATGTCGAAATAATCTTTTGTATATGCTGGCTTAAATAAAATATAATACTGAAGTAAATTTTACCTGTTTTTATTTCCTATGTGGCTACTGGAACATATAAAACTGCACCTGTGGTTTACATTATATTTGTGTTAGATAATGCTGATTTAAAGTACTAAAACACAGAATAAGGATATCATTTGTGGATATATTAAATGGTGAAAATGAGCAGGAAGGAAGGGCCAAGATGGTGGTCATTTCTCAAGAGGAAGGCCAAGGGATAGTTTTCCATAATGGTTTAACCATGCTTCTACTGTATTTGTAAATTTTATTTATTTTTTAAAAATCTGAAGCAAATATAACAGAATGTTGGATTTTCACATTTTTCCCTGTGCATTTATGGATTCATAAAATCATTTATATTGTTTAGTTTTTTCCCTAAAAAGTTAAAAACCTATTCTGCAAAATGTGACCGAATCAATTCGTGTTTTAGTTAAGTTTCATATGAATTTTACAAAAGTGATGAATTGTGGCTATGCCTCCTGTTTTCAAAAGATCCAATAAAACACTCACTTTTTTGCATAGTAGGATCTTTTTCTAGGTTCTGGGGATATAAATAATTGGGAGAAGGTCCTAGCCATTTTGGAGCTTGCTGTGTAGTAGGGAAGACTGTAACTTTGCAAATATATGATACATGCTGCTAGAGACTGAATGTGTTTCCCTCAAATTCATATGTTGACCCTAACCTGCAATGTGACATTTGGAGACAGTGTTAGGGCAATGATTAGGCCATGAGGGTGGACCCCTGATGAATGGGATTAGTGCACTCACAAGAGCTCAGCACAGAGCTCCCTCACCACTTCTGCTCTGTGAGGGCCAAGTGAGAAGAGAGCAGTCTGTGAACAAGAAGCAGACTTATCAGACAAAAATCTGCCAGACCTTGATGGTGGACCTCCTGGTCTCCATAATTATGAAAAATAAATACATTTTATTATTTGTAAGCCACTTGATCTATAGATTTTGTTGTAGTGGCCTAAACAAAGACACTTGTACCAATAAAAATTAGAGAAAAAATGTACAGAAAAAAATTAGAGTTTAAAGTGTACAGATATAGCACACAAGAAATGATGCATCTCTGACAAATAGAAAGCATTCCTAGAGTAGGTGACATGTAAATTCTCAATGCCTATCTTTTCGGTGATTCTCTTATTCAGACAAAGAAATTTTCATACCAATTTCCTTGTTTACTTCTACAAATCTTCATATTCAGGGCAGGTAAAAATTCCTTGCTCCAAGTGTAATTCACAGCCAAGGTTGGAATCTGGTTTAGGGAAATTTTAAACTTGTATAATTTGAGGGGTCGTCTCTAAGGAAAAGAGATATACCATTGTGAATGTTATATAAGGATATAACATTGTGAATGCAGAATAGGGACAGGCCTTTAAAGGGGTCTGTCCAAGTGACTGGAGCTTAAATTCAGTAGATTTATGGTCCACCTACTTCAAAGTAGACAATGTGGAAATACAGATTTATGAAACCTATGTTATAGGGGAATTGTTGATATCATCAAAATATTTGCTTTCTGAGAGGGTTCAAATATGATTCTTAAAAAAGTATTTTCTTCCCTTTCCTCTAGAGCTTTGCACATGATTGAATTTTTTTCTGGTTTTATTATAAAATAAGCAAATATATAATTTTATTTAATTTACAAAAATATATAAATTGTCCATAATCTTTACATGAATGTGATTAGGAAATTGAAATGAAAAGGTTATGTAAAAATTGACATCATGGAGTCATTTTAAAATGGAATTAGAATAGTCATTTCCGAGAAAGTGCCTTGCTGTCTCGTTACTTGAACCTTTGCACTGGGCGAAACTGAAATTTGTTTGAGAAACCAAGCAAACACTTGTTTAAGAAGTCATCCCATTCACAAGGACTGATGAACCTGGACTGATGATTATTGCTGAAGACAGAGTCAGCAGTCAGCTAGGCGTAACCAAGGGCAGTGGACTTGTTGGCTACACCCATGAATTCTTCACTTACCTCATCTTTGTCTCTTCTTTCAATAAAACTCCTACCTTTGGTACCTCCTCAGGACACTGTTTGGGTTTCTCCCTGTATCTTTAGTCCCTGAATTACAATACTTTGTTCCCAGTAAATGTACTTTGCCTTTTAATTGCAAGAAAGACTTTCTATGTTTTATCATCATGTATTGCATTTGATAGACTCAGTTCATCTACATTTATATACTATTTATTTGCTTATAATATTCTCTTATGTTTTTAATGTATGCAAGGTGTGCACTGCTATTTCTCTTCATTCTTCATATCAGTTATTTTGTGCTGTCTCTTTTTTTTTTTGCTCAATTACATCAATGTTTTTTTAAAAATTGATTTACGGGGCCTCCCTTGTGGCGCAGGTAGTTGAGCGCAGTGCTGCGAAGCTATCAGCAGCCTCTGCAGTGCTGGTTCGATCCCCACTGGCTGCAGAGCAACCCACATGGTGTGGCAGGCCTCTCCTGTCTCGCCCGATGCTCCCCTCAGCAATGTATTTCAGTCAGTCTGCCTGTTCTGTTCCCCGCTCTGTCTCTGGTGAATCCTCTCACCCTCCCGCACATCTGGCCTGTACCCCAGCTCTTGTATAATTAAATAAATCTTTCTAAAAAATTGATTTAATGGGGTCTCTCTCTCAAAGGACCACAAAATAATTATTTCTGTTTTAGCCATGGTATTTAAGATACACGATTCAGTCCAACTAGAGAAAGTGTTCTATACATAGCAACAGTGACTTAGATAGGCACATAATGAGGAACTAACATTCTTTAATTAGTTTTCTGATTATATTCTATACTTGGTCACTTTAGCTACTTTTAATATTCTCTGTTCTCTTGAAAATCTTCCTTCTCACCTGGTTGGCAAAACTCAACCTTGATTTAATCCATTCTTAGCTGACTGCCCCTTGCTCCGCAATGCCCTACCATAGGTCCTTCCCCATCTCTAACTAGTAGTCTCTGACCTCAAAAGAATGGAGGGACCCAGGCTCCTGACCCCTCCAGGAGGTGCCCTTCGCCCAGCCTGGGTAACAGGATGGCTCCAGGAAGGATGAGAGTTGAAGGGTCTATAGCTGTGCTGGGACATTGGTTCCCCTCTTCCCCACGCCCGGATCTACAGGAACTGCAGGCATCTACAGCAGCATGCTCACACAGGACCCCAGACAGGGCAGGCCCACCACTCGGTGCTGGAGCCCCCCAGAACCAGACCTGGGTGGGCATTGCCCCTGCCTCAGGGATAAATACCGACAGGCCCTCTGCTCACCACTATCTATAACGCCTGGCTTCCCGACCATCTGCCTTGCACAGCACGAGGAAGGGACTGTGCTGTCCCCAGCCCTGACAAGAGGGTTTGAGCAAGAAACGCTGGGAAGACGGCCAGTGGGGCGGACTAAATGGAGGCTGTTGGGAGGACACCACCACAGTGCACTTGGGCTGGTGGAAGCACAGTCCCCCCAAAGTACCAGGAAGACATGGTGCCCTGAGGTTGCTTGGTGGTGAGATGGGAAGTTTGCCAGGTAGAGGAAGGGGCTTCCATGCAGAGTGGGCATTGGGGTGTTGCAGTCAGGTGGGTCAGAACTTAAAGGGTTCAAGTATCATCTCAGGATTTATTTCTAGGGGCAATGAGAAACCCCATATGGGACATTTCAGGGCTTTCGAGGGGTCTGGGGAAGTAGTTCTGTAACCTCTTTGCTACCACTTGTCACTGTGCACACTACACTTCTGCATTCTGAGTCACCAGAGCACACCATGCTGTTTCAGGTCTCTGCTTTCATGCAGGCTGTTTCTTCCTCTGCTAGTTGCTATTCCTTTTTCTTCGCACTATCTATCCTATTCATCCTTGACACCCTTCTCTGGAATCATCTTATTTCTGAAACCATGCTTTTAGAAAATCAAGCGAACCAATTATATCCTACTGGTACTCCTCACCTGAGGTCTGAACCAATTTATAAGCAAGACCAAAAGGTAGTTCAGGAGGAGCACCATAACATCTCCTTCACATAGATGATGCTGGCACAGGGAGTGCATCTCCCCTCCTTAAGCAATAATAAAGAGCCCGGAAATAAGTAGACTCACCCACCAAACCACAGAAAGAACCACAGGCTTCCTTTCTCTTGCCACCTGGCAGGGAACAGAGCAGAAGAGCACGTGCCATCTAAGGCAGCAGGCTTCCAAGAAGAAGGGAAGGAAGGGGCAGGAAGAGAAAAGCCCATTGTCTTCCCAAATTCACCAGAGAGTTCTGCTCCCCACTCTGTCTCTGGTGATTCCTCTCACCCTCCGCACCTCTGGCCTGCACCCCAGTTCTTATATGCATAAATAAATAAATCTTCAAAAAAAAAAAACCATTCACCAGAAAAGTCACCTTCTCAGGGCAGGAGTGAGGGAGGAACTATAGGTTTTCCTCTTAGCCTCTGTGATTAGACTTTAAGCCTAGAGTCCCTCTGAGAAGTGCTTCTTTGACAGGAGCTCAGTGTTCAACCAGAATAATTTTGTCCCACTTTCTGTCTGCTCTTTCCCCTTACCAATCCTGATCGCCCCTCTTCTGTGGACTCACCTAGATCATAAAGTGTGTGGGGTCAGTCTGTCCCCCAAGAAGGTGCTGAAATGGATCAACCACTTGAATCAACTTCAAGGCCAATTCTGTGCCAAAGGCTGAAAATTCACTTTCTATTATCTATAGTTCTTACTGCAAATGATATCTGGCTGCATTGTGCAACAGAACAAGCAGAGATTCCTTGTTGATTTCTAATGAAAACATAAAAATACTTCAGGAATAAAAGCATAAAATAATTTCAGTAATAAAATACCAGCAATACACGGATGTGTTATATTTGAATGTAACCCGGGGCCTCCCTGGTGGTGCAAGGGGTTGCGCTCAGTGCTGTGAGGCTGTCTGCAGGCACTACAGCACAAGTTCGATCCCCAGCCAGGAAGCAACCCATATGGCGCAGAAGACCTCTCATGATTCACCCACTGCTCCTCTCAGCAGTGTATTTCAGTCAGTGTGCCTGTTCTGTTCCCCATGCTGTCTCTAGTGAATCCTCTCACCTCCCACACCTCTGGCCTGTACCCCAGTTATTGTAATCATAAATAAATAAATCCTTGAAAAAAAAAAAAAACCTGAATGTAAACTGCTGCCCATAATCAAATTCCCAAAGAAAAGTTCTTCTTTTTTTTTTTTTTTAAGATTTTATTTATACAAGAACTGGGGTACAGGCCAGATGCACGGGAGGGTGAGAGGATTCACCAGAGACAAAGCAGGGAACAGAACAGGCAGACTGATGAAATAAACTGCTGAGGGGAGCAGCGGGCGCGACAGGAGAGGTCTGCTGCACCATGTGGGACCCTCGCCGGCCAGCCTTGATTGAAACAGCACTGCAGAGGCTGTGGATAGCTTCACAGCACTGCGCTCAACTGCCTGCGCCACCAGGGGAGGCCCAGAAAACTTACTTTTGCAAGTAAACTCTCTTTAAAAAGAGGTGCTTCCCACTGCCCACACAAAGTCAATCTATATACCCTTAGAGATTGCAACTTCAGGTTCCCTATATTCTGATTTTTAAGGAAGAATCACTCTACTCCATCCTTTGAGATCTTAGATTTCTTAGATTACTTCAGACCTCAAAAGTTTTTCTGCTCTAGTAACAACAAAGATAATTTCCTTTGTTCTAGTGCCTTCCTTAAGGACACTTAGGTCCAGGTACATCTCCATTCCTCTTTTATACCTGTTTATCCTGGAACTTGAGAGCTTGTTTTCACATTTTACATCTTTCTAGTTTGTTTCCACAGATTTCTCTAAGAGGTTACATATTCTCCTAAGGAAACTTCTCTCCAAGGCAATTCACCTGTCTTCCTTTACTTTGTTTTTATTCCACTATTACTATTCTGAAAAAAAGATCGAAACACACTGGTCAAACCACCCTCACTTCTTGATTTTCTGAGCTCACCTAGTTCCTAAACACAATATTCCAAGGATAGTCATTTTAATTACCTTCTTAGTCTTTGGTTTTGTAACAATTCCATGGAATTGTCTCTCTAAGCCAAACCCGTAAGATGCATATAAGAACATCTTTATAATAAGAACATCTGCTATTTATTTATAAAAATCTTCTCCCCTTCCATGAATGAAGCTATAATTTGATTGTAGAATGACAGGTAAAGGCACGGCCAAATATATGGAATTAATGAATTAAAATCAATCCGATAGGGAGTGACCCTCAAAAATCTGTGGTAGAGCCACATGAATCCAGGAGATTAGTACGTACTTTATTTTCTCTTTTAGCTCTGCAAGTCAATAAGAATATACATACGATGGATAGGACTTAGATATGCCCATCCACGCTGTCTAATTAGGACTAGCAGTAACAATTTAAAGGTGGAAGGTCAAACTTTAGTTCTTCATAGGACGCAAAATCTGGGTGCTCAGTTGCTGACCTGAAATCAGGCTAAACCTCTCATGTCTGATGGGTCTGCAGAGGGCAAGATTCCCTTTCCCCTCTACGCCTATCCCTGCATGTGAGAGTGTCCACAGCCTGTAGAAACCTGCTACCTCCCCACAAGGTGCTGCTGTTGGCTCTCTGAGATTTGTATTTGCTACGGAACACCTGGCCTTCACTTTACTGAGGTCTCCACAGGTCTTTTTTTTTTTTTAAAAAAAGGCCTGTTAAATAATATGAAACAATTGGAAAATAAGACCTAAGACATCACATAGTTTTGCTGAGTCAAACTTGACCTGTGAAGCTGGGGCTTTGCTTATTTAGGCTAGCCGGCAAGGCCCACCTGTATCTGTTGGATCTAATCATCTTTTTAAAGATGTTCTCTTTGCTGAGACGCATATGTTTTGCTTAATGGCTAGCAGAGACCTCTAAAAGGCGCTTTTTGTATATCACTGTAAATTCTAGAGCCCACCAAAATAGTGGTGAAAGACCACTATGATCTCTAAGTTTTAAAGTCACTCAGAGAGCACAGCAGTTAAAAGCAAACAGTTTAAGTGTAAAAAACCTACCACATTGTAGAGTATAAACCTCAAAGGATAAGGTAAAGAATTCACATGGCTGTGCTTACTAAATCACTGAGAAAATTTACCTTACCAGCTCACTCCAGAAGTCTCAATCCCTCTGTGTTTCATCTCCCATCCACCTCACTTTTTGTCTTATGATGATTTAAGTCAACGCACCAGACTGGGGACCTTAAAGACACCTGTTAAATGTGGGCCTCCTTGGTGGTGCAAGGGGCCAGGGAGCTGACTCACATGGTGCAGCAGACCTCTCCTGACTCACCTGCTGCTCCCCTCAGCAGTGTATTTCAGTGGATCCTCCTGTTAGTTCTCTGGTGAATAGTGAATCCTCTCACACCCCCGCACCTTTGGCCTACACTCCAGTTCTTGTATGTATAAATAAATCTTTCTAAAAAAAAAGGCCTGGGGCCTCCCCGGTGGCGCAGCGGTTGAGCGCTGGGTTGTGAAGCTGCCCGCAGCCTCTGCAGCGCCGGCTCGATCCCCGGATCCCCGGCTGCTCGGCTGCTCCCCGGCCACCGGAGGAGGGTCCCACATGGCGTGCAGACCTCTCCTGCCACCCGCTGCTCCCCTCAGCAGTGTACTTTGGTCCTTCTGACTGTTCTGTTCCCCGCTCTGGCTCTGGTGAATTCTCTCATCCTCCCGCGTTTCTGACTGTACCCAGTGCTTGTATAAATAAATAAATAAATAAATCTTAAAAAAAAAAAAAAAAAAAAGGCCTGTTAAATAATATGAAACAATTGGAAAATAAGACCTAAGACATCACATAGGGAAATTAAATATCTTCGCTGTTGTAATGAAATAGAGAAATGACTTATATAGTTGGCAACTGAGCTTCCTAGTACTAAAGCCCAGAATTAGAGAGCTAACCTTTCAACCAAAAGGCATATCCACACAAGCACTTATATTGGTGTTGGATAGGGTGGCAGAGGGGGCATCGAGGGATTCCTTAGATAGTTCCCCTATTTTCTGCTATCCTGGCAATGCATTACAGGAAGTAATTTTTGGAGGAAAATAAAAATACCCAAAGTATTTTGTCCCTCATTATGCTGAAAGCTGCAATCATACTTCCCTCTTTTACATGGAAGGATAAAAAAGTCCATTTTGGAAGCTGGGGACTGCTTTCAAGATCAATCACTGCTATTAAGAAATTGATTTATTCAATTAACTGAGAATTTTTGAGATTTATTTATTTGTGCATATAAGAACTGGAGTGTAGGCCAGAGGTGAGGGGTGGGGAGAGGATTCACCAGAGTCAGAGTGGGGAGCAGAACAAGCAGACTGAAATGCACTGCTGAGGGGAGCATCAGGTGAGACAGGAGAGGTGGGCTGCACCATGTGGGTCAGCTCCCTGGCTGGGGTTCAAACTTGTGCTGCAGTGGCTGGTGATAGCTTCATAGCTCTGTGTCCTTAAACACTATACCACTAGGGAGGCCCCTCAATTAACTGAAATTTACAGACACATATATGCTAAACACACTATTAAAGGAGAACAGAAGCAGCATGTCTCTGACCTCTTGGAGTCTAGTTGAGGCCATGAATACTAAAGTAATAAGCAAATACACTTGCTATTACAGATAGTGATGAATGTTATGAAAGTTGGCTATTACATTTAAACTGAAATCTGAAATGAAAGAGCCAATGATGATGAGAAAGGGAGAGCATTCTAGACAGCAGGAATAGCTGGTGCAAGAGTATTGAGCCCAAAAAGATTTTGGTGTGTTTTAGGAATGAAAAGAAAGTGAACAGGTGAGTGGTAGGGGATGAAGTTAGAGATGGGAAGAAGGCAGGTTACACAGGCCTTGTGTGCAAGGGTGAAATGTTAATCTTATCTGAAATGTCGGCCATCGTAAAGTTTCATCTGGGAAGTGATTGATCCAAGTTTTGAGATAATTCTCCCTATTCTGCGGAGGATGGATTATTAAGACTAAGAATTCCTGGAATCAGGGAAACCGGTGCAGAGTCTGTACCTGTACTCTGGGTAAGAGATTATTTTGTGTGGCCTCCCCTGGTGGCACAGGCGGTTGAGCACCACACTGTGAAGCTGTCCACAGCCTCTGTAGCACTGGTTCGATCCCCGCCGGCCAGCGAGGGTCCCACATGGCGCACCCGCTGCTCCCCTCAGCAGTGTATTTCTTCAGTCTGCCTGTTCTGTTCCCCACTCTATCTCTGGTGAATCCTCTCACCCTCCTGTGCATCTAGCCTGTACCCTGTTTCTTGTATAAATAAATAAATAAATCTTAAAAAAAAAAGAGATTATTGTGGTTTGAACTCACATGATCGTAGATATGAAAATAGTACAGAGATTCAAAATCTATTCTGGAGGGAGAACCGAGGCTGCTTTTGAATATGGCTGAGCCAAGCAAGGTGGTGTGCAGCACAGCATGCTGAACTGGTTATGCACATTAACTTGGCATCTGGAAAGTTATCATCTCACTCATGGGTCCCGGTTATACAGCCCTACCGAACTCATGTAGGTGGAAGTTTTAAAAGATCAAAGTGAGCATTGGAGGAGAGAACAGGTAGAAAGCTGAGGTGAATAATGTGATCTTTCCTTATAGAGGAATCCAGATGGATTAAAACTAATCTGGCCAAACACTGCTGCTCATATGTGTTTTCTGATGAGTTACTATCTCAAGCAATTTACTCCAGAAATAAAAGTACTTGTATTGTGGTTGCTATGCAAAAGGAAAAAAAAAAATGCTATTTATTAAGTAATGAATCACTGGCCGCCTGTAACTGAATACCTATTCAATAGTGTTACTAGTTTATTTTTCTAAAATAAGAAGATTGAGAGAAGATGGCTAATGGTATTGCTTTAGAAACTCAAATGTTGGGTTTCACATCAAGGAATGTGCCTTTCTCTTCTGCTACTCAGAGTAGCATTCTCGTGGTTGATTTGAACAAGGTATATATATATTTTTTAAAAATTTATTTATTTATGCATACAAGAGCTGGGGTACAGGGGTGGGGGGTGTGAGAGGGTTCAGCAGAGACAGAGTGGGGAGCAGAACAGGTGGATCCACTGAAATACACTGCTGAGGGGAGCAGCGGGTAAGTCAGGAGAGGTCTGCTGCACCATGTGGGTTCCTCCATGGCCGGCCCTGGCTTGATATCGTGCTACAGTGGCAGCTGATAGCCTCATAGGCTGCATCTTAACCCCTTGCGCCACCAGCGGGGCCCGAACAAGGTATATTTAAAGGTAAGACTGGAGAATGGTTACTGGGTGGGCAACAATTATCTAGAATAAACTAGATATTAAAAGAATGAGAGAAGGAATAGACCAAGGCCACACCTTTACACTTATTGAAACATGAAAAATTCTTTTAGATGTTAGTAGAAATGAGTTATTGATCTTAATGACAGTTTAAAAATAATCCCATCTTTTATAAATCTAGGAAATGTAATATGTTCACATACTACAAATTCATTCAGTAAACAAATTCACTCAGTAAATATTTGAGCTACGATGTGGTATATATTCTGTGCCTTCAAGAAATTTCCAAACAATTCTGTGTGTTTTATGTTCTATTTTATAAAGTCTCATAGGCATTCTTTTTTGAAGTTATAACAACTCTGTGTGCAGTTAATTTTTATCTGACAAAGAAATTAAGAGTGGTAGACCCTGTAGATCTGCTAATACTGCTCCCAACTACATTTCAGTGTTTCCAGGCAGATTTATGGCTTCAGAATCTGCCTTTCTCTGCCTGGGGGCTTTCTCTCAAGTCTGGAAGGCAGCCCCGTTCCTGTGTAGTCAGGGAATTTGGAAGTGCCTGGGAATTATCAGCCTCCTCTCTCAGCAGCCCTCACTGACTGGATTTGTTATATAAATACCCAGCTCTCTAGCCCTTCAGGTGGGATAACTTTGAGGCTTGTGCTGGACAGTCTCAGAGTTTTCCCGTGGGATTATGTTCAGGTCATTACCAATGGTAACCGGCTTGATAAGATCCCCTTTATTTACAGCCTTCCCTTCTTTGTCTCACTTCCCCCACTCCTACCAGCGTTTCCTGACCCCTCCTGTTAACTACCTGCACTCAAATCTAGTCTTGGGATTAGAGGGGCGTTTTCACAAGGTTATTTCCCCAATACCCGGCCCTCCGCTCAAGTGCTTGGTTCACTGGGTGGGCACCTGATTTAAGCCAAGCCAGCTGGAATACTTCCCAGGGAATTTTGTTCATTCTGAAACAAGGGAAAAAGAGCACTCTTGGTGGTGGTTTTTTGTTGTTTTTTTTTGTTGTTGTTGCTTTTTTCCTGTCTCTGAATTTCCAGTATATCTAAGCAATATTTTGGAGACTCACAGGCTTAAATGTTTTCATGAAGTTACTGTGTTTTAGGATGCTGCAGTGGCAAGAGGCATACGCAGGGTGGGAAGCAGCGCTGGCAGTGGAAGAAAATAGGTTCCATTAGAGCTTGGAGATAAACCCACTCTCTGAGTAGGAACTTAAGGACCTCAGGAGGGAGGCGGGCTTGAGAAATACACATGCTTTAGGCCAAAGCTTGACAGCCCCCCCCCATTAAGGCTCCTTTACATTTGCATGGAGTTATTTGACTTCAGTTGGGGGATTTTGAGAATAGACTTGTTTTTGATCTCATACTCACCAGGGAGAGCAGACTCTTGATTGTGTGGTTATTCTACGTTTATTCCATTCCCAAGATCCTTGAGATGACAACCTGCCCAAAACCAAAACCAAAAAAAATGTGGGCATGAGATATGCCTAGAGGTTACGGGACAGAATTCTGCTGTGTCTGTACTAGGGTTTGATGACTGTCCAGCGACTTGGTTTATGAAATTCCTAGAATGACTGTTGAACTTTTCAACAAAATTAAGTCACCTCTTCAATTTTCACTATCCTTTAAATTTTCAGTTTGTCCCTCTAGATGTAAATACTTTATTAGTCTGATCTTCACATTTTAGTTATTAAGAATTCTAGGCTTTAGGGCCTCCCTGGTAGAGCAAGGGTTTAAGATGCAACCTATGAAGCAATCCACAGCCTCTGCAGCACGAGTTTGATCCTGGCCGCCCAGCAAGGGTCCCACATGGCACGGCAGACCTCTCCTGGAGTCTCACCCGCTGCTTCCCTCAGCAGTGTATTTCAGACAGTCTGCCTGTTCTGTTCCCCACTCTGTCTCTGGTGAATCCTCTTATCCCCCGCATCTCTGGCCTGTACCCCAGCTCTTGTATGCATATATAAATAAATCTTAAAAAAAAAAAGAATTCTAGGCTTTATATTTGAATGGTATTTCTACAAATATATCTGAAAATCTCTATTGTTTGTGAATTTATTTTTAGATACAATCAAACCAGTAAGTATTATAGCAACATTTTTTAGGGAGTAAAGTTGTAAATATTTCATTTTTATATTTTCTATACTGGAATTTACAATATTTAGTCATTCCCAAACGTAGGTATAAGATCAGCATGGTACTAGGATATCACAAATTTACTTTAGCTGGAAACACCTACAAAAAATAGATAAAAATTTTCCAAAACATTTACAAAAGAATTATTTTCCTATTGTAAGAAAGCAATAGATATTTTGCTAAATATGGGCCCACTGAACAATGCTAGTATGAGAGCTGCTGACACTCTTAACCACTATTTCCCAAAATAGCTTTGTTGTATTCATTTCCTCACAAGTGATCCCTATATTTTCATACTGCTAAAATCTAAATTGTTGTTGACTGTTTTGAACGCGGGGTTCTGCAAATGAAAAATAAATCACTGGTGTTTTTTTTTTAAGTTTTATTGGGGTGTGCTTACATATCATAAATTTCACCTATCGTATGTGCACAGTTCAGTGATTTTTTTTAGTGAATTGATACATTTGTGCAACTCACACCATAATCCAGTTTTAGAACATTCCTTCACCTGGAAAGTTCCATCATGCCTATGCCGTTAGTTCCTATTCCCTCCTCCAGCAATAGGGTCATCACTGTTCTTTCTATGTCTATATACTTGATTTTCTAGACATTTTCGATCTCTGGAATCACACAATATGTTGTTTGTGGCTTCTTTCACTTAGATTAACATTTAAGGGTTCCACCATGTGTAGCTTGTATCAGTGCTTATTCCTGTTGCCTCCTCCTCTTTTTTTTTTTTTTATTTTTTAAAGATTTATTTATTTATATAAGCACTGGGTACAGTCAGAAGCATGGGAGGGTGAGAGAATTCACCAGAGCCAGAGCCGGGAAAAGAACAGGCAGACTGACAGACGAAGGACACTGCTGAGGGGAGTAGCGGGCGGCAGGAGAGGTCTGTCGCGCCATGTGGGATCCTTGCTCGGTGGCCGGGGATCGAACCAGCGCTGCAGAGGCTGCGGGCAGCTTCGCAACCCAGCGCTCAACCGCTGTGCAACCGGGGAGGCCCTATTTGACCTTTTTTTTTGACCATTACAAGTAATACTGCTATTAAATATTTACATTATTTTTTAAATGGACATAGGTTTTATTTCTCTTGGGTAGATGCCTATGTGTGGAATTGCTGGGTAACTATGTTTAAATTTTGAGAAACCACCAAAATACTTTCTATAGTGACTATACTTTTACATTCCCACCAATGATATGTGAGTATTCCACCTTTTCCACATATTCACCACTTGCTATTTTTGTCTTTACTATACTCATCCTAGTGGTTGTGGAATGGTATCTTATTGTAGTTTGAGTTTGTATTTCCCTAATAATGAATGACATTAAACATTTTCATAAGCTTAGTAGCTATGATATAGACTTTCTAGCACAAATTTAAAACCCAGTTAGTACGTATGGGATGAACCTTTGCACATGCACATATCTGCATATGCATGCGCACAAGTATGTAACTAGAACCCCCATCATATTATAGCATGCCTGGTATGTTAAGGTTTTACACAAATCGTTACTTTTATCAATTTCTGAACAAGGAAAGATCCTTGCTTAAGAAGACTACTGGCAATGAGTTCTCTCAGCTTATGTTTGTCTGAAAGCATCTTTACTTAATTCTTGAAAGATTTTCCCCTGGATATAGAAGTCGAGGTAAGCAAGACGGTTTTTTTTTTTTCCTTTTTCCCTTCAGCAAATTAAAAATGGCATTTATGTCTTCTGAACTTATGTTTCATCTGTTTTAAAGTCTACATTAAGACATTCTTTTTTCAAAATTGACTGTTTTTCCTCTGGTTCTTTAAGATTTTTCTCTCTCTCTAGTGTTCAAGTTTTTAATTTTGATATGCTCCAGATGATATCTTCTAGAAGAGGACACTGACCTTCTCTCTACTAGGCAGAATCAAGCCTTCTAACCAGTAGAAGGATAAAAGTTTGATTCCCTGGATCCAACAGAGAGATTGAGCGATATGTATTCAGACTGGACTGTAAAGATTAAGACCCAGTTCACCTCTGGCTTATTCCTCTGGCTTCTGATTAAGGGCATGGCAGTCTTTGTCTCCTGAAGGACTATAAAATTGATTCATTTCTGCTCATTGAAGGTTTTGAGTTTTTCTCTCTAAATTCCTTCCACAGAGCTTCAAAATGTGGCAAATGTCTTCAGGAGACCAGTCTCCATTTGTAGCAGACCCTCTCCTTCTAGTTAGAATTTTGTATACAAAACACTATGAAATGCTCAGAGATTTCACCTTGTTAGAAACTTCTGGCACAACACTCTAGACTCCCATACCGTATACCTCTGAGTTCAGCACATCTCTGTGGGAAATAGATCGCTATGCATATTTAGGGGTCTTCCAGCTTATCACTGATTGTGCTAACCCCACACAACTATCAAAAGTTTGCTGGATTCTCTTTCCTTTGGTAAAAGAAAATCTGGGCCAAGTCAGATTGCTTCTCAGTTCCAAGTTTAACACCTACACACTGTTCTCAAAAATCATCACACCTGGGGACCTCCCCTGGTGGCGCAGCGGTTGAGCACTGGGTTGTGAGGCTGACCGCAGCCTCTGCAGCGCCAGTTCGATCCCCAGCCACCGGCGAGGGTCCCACCAAAAAAAAAAAAAAAAAAAAAAATCATCACACCTGGGAAGAGCTCTTCCCTGTCTGGAATTTTAGTTTGAAGTATTTTCTGATTGCTTCAGTGGATTTAAAAAATACCTTTGCAAGGTGTCCTTTCGAAAGTGAATAACTTTACTAAGACATTTGTTCATAATGATGCACAAAAATAGTTGATTTTTTTAGAAATCAAAACTATTTTCTGACCATTTCTTTTTTTTTTTTAATTCTTTTTTTTTTTTTTTAAGAGGCATGTATTTTATTCATTTATTTGTTTATACATGCACTGGGTACAGTCAGAAGTGCGGGAGGGTGAGAGAATCCACCAGAGCCAGAGCGGGGAGCAGAGCAGGCAGAAGGACCAAAGTACACTGCTGAGAGGAGCAGCGGGCCGCAGGAGAGGTCTGCGCGCCATGTGGGACCCTCCTCCGGTGGCCGGGGAGCAGCCGGGGATCGAACCGGTGCTGCAGAGGCCGCGGGCAGCTTCGCAACCCAGATCTCAACCGCTGCGCCACCGGGGAGGCCCTATTTTCTGACCATTTCTCATTGAAGAGGTCAATAACAAAATGAAAGGCTTTCATTATTTTTTTTAGCCTGCACTTTCATTTCTTCAAAACTATATTGTTGAATTACATCATTAAAATGAATCTCTGGAGTGAGTGGGTATATAGTCAGGACTCAGAATCAGTGAGTTTCCTCCAAGAAGTTCTGTCTGTTTAATAATACTCCAGTGTGCTATCCTTCCTCTCACTGCCTTCGAAACCATTTAAAACTATTAAACTTCAATATAGGACTTTGAGAAACTAGTATGTGTGGAGAGTAGTTTTCCGTTTTTTACATTAACTTGAGAGAACAATTATTTTATATGCAACTAAGTTTATATTAAATTTTGGTTAACTGAATGTCTCTTTGCTCCAGGATTTTCTAATTTGATAATCAGATTGTGAAAAGTACAAATTTTTAGGTTAACTGACTGAACAAATGATATTCAATAGCTAGAACCCAGATCATTTCTACACAATTTTGTCAAATTGACACTGCTGTAGATAAATTCCAAGTTTAGCCAAAGATTAGCTATTTATATATATATAGGACAGGGGACCTACTTTGGGAACTGCTTCAATCCTAACTCATAATAGTCTATTGTTAAATATTTATGCTATTATCACTTCTGAGATGCTAAACTCAGACAAAGTTTGGTAAATAGTGATATATTAGTTATTATGAGGGGCGGGGAGAGAGGGGAGAACCTGGTAAGATCATTTTTTTAAAAAAAGATTTATTTATGCATACAAGAGCTAGGGTACAGGCCAGAGGTGGGGGGGGGGTATGAGAGGATTCACCAGAGACAGAGTGGGGAGCAGAACAGGAGGATCTACTGAAATACACTGCTGAGGGGAGCAGAGGGTGAGACAGGAGAGGTCTGCTGTGCCATGTGGGTAGTTCCCCGGCCGGGAAACGAACTAGTGCTGCAGAGGCTGCGGACAGCTTCATAGGCTGTGTCCCAACCCCTTGCACCACCAGGGAGCCCCGTAAGATCATTTTACTGGAAGACCTAAATCGACAGCAATATTATGTGATCTAAAGTTTGCTCTATATAGATTAGGACAGCTATAAACTCTTACTTCATCAAATATTATTTTTAATGTAACTAGGTTCATAGCTAATTTGTGTTGTTATCTCCAAAAGATTTCCTGGGCCTCAGTGGCCTTGCTTAGGGCCAGCCCTGTTTGGCCGGACATTTACCCACAAGGGATGGGTAACTTTGAGTGTTTTATTGGAAAACTATTATCTTTACTTAATCTATGCACACTATCCTATTAAAGTTCTTTCACAGTAAGAGTATGCTTTGTCTTTATTCAGCCGTTGGCAGAACCTATTTAGAATGTGCAAGTTTCAGGGTCCCAGGGTGCCCCTCAGTCTGTACACTAACATTCACAGAATTACAGCATCTTACAGAGCTGAATGGCACCTTAGAGTAGCTCCCAGACCTCATTAACCAGTTTTGCCAATCAAAACCATAGAAATGTTGAGTGCACAATTCAAAATGATGAGTTTTGCTGGATTTCAGTTTGTACATTTTTTGTGAAGAACATAAACACTTTTTCTTATCTTTTAGAGAGATGCATCATTCTAATAAAAATTATCTTGGGAAATTATTTTTAGAGTATATGTAATTGATGTGTTCCTGAAAAAAAAAAAAGGGGTCTAAAGCTGAGTTTCAGAAATACAATCATATCTTCCTAGTTAGAACCATAATGAGATTAGAAATAGAATGACCTTGGTATTCCTCTTTATAGGGCATTTTAGTGTTCTGACAGTTACAAAAGTATGCTGAGTAATGCATAATAGTGGACCAGACCTCTTGTGTATTTAATCCATTTTTCCAGGGCTATATATGGGACTAGATTTTTCTTTATGCTACCAGGTGTGAGGTCCCCGTGCCTGCAGTTTTCACAAAAACAAAAAAGGGCTCTTCTGTCAGACTGTCTAGAGCTCACTTAAAAGAAACCTTATTTCACGGGCATCCCTGGTGGTGCAAGGGGTTAAGACGCAGCACTAGGAAGCTGCCCACAGCCTCTGCAGCACAAGTTTGATCCCGGGCCAGGGAGATACCCACATGGCGCAGCAGACCTCTCCTGACTCACCCACTGCTCCCCTCAGCAGTGTATTTCAGTCAATCTGTCTGTTCTGTTCCCCACTCTGTCTCTGGTGAATCCTCTCATCACCCCATACCATCTGGCCTCTACCCCAGTTCTTGTATGCATAAATAAATCTTTAAAAAAAAAACCTTATTTCATTTATCACTTTACTGTGATCCTCAATGTTAGTTCTACATCTGGAAGTACCTCCTGAGAATGAAGTCTTGGTGCCCATGGTCAATGCAGATGAGATACAGAAATGCTTTCCTGCTCCCCGTTGCGATGAGTTAAGAAGGGAAATTGGCCTCAGCTGAGCTGGTTTCTTCTGGGGGCTCTAAGGGAAGGTTCCACACCTCTCTCCTTAGGAGGTGGATGACCGTCTTCTCGCCCCACCTCCTGGCGCAGAAACAGTCGGTGTGAGCCCCACCCTAGTCCGGGACGACTTCATCCTAATTACCTCTGCAACGACTCAATTCTCAAACTGTACCATAAATGCACAGAAACCCCAGCCGACGAGGTAAATCACGTTATGTCACATTCCAGCAGCGACAGGCGCATCACCAGTGCGTCGTGGCTTTTAAATTTTATTTTTAAATTCAGTGCCATCGAGTCCGGGCACCATGTTGGGCGACCAACATCCATTTCCAAGGGAATTAAAAATATATATATTTGTACACGGGGCAAAAAAAAAATCTCTTAAAAAACTAGACTTTATTAGTAAATCTAGAGAATCAGCTGCCATGGAGAGGCCCCCGGCCAGGGGGTGCCCGGCCGCGGCGAGCCCCCGCGCAGGCTCCACGCTCCTCACAGCAACTGCCGGCGCTGCCGAGGGCCGCCGGGGCGAGCGCCCCCAGAGCCAAGCGCCCCAGAAAACCAGCGCCCGAGACGCCGCCGCGGGTCGTACCTGGGCCCAGCCGCGGAGACGCAGGAAGCCGGAAGCTGACACTCGGGGCGCGGCGGGCGCCCGGGGCCTCGGGCCGCGCCCCCCGCGAGCAGCCGGGCGAGGGGCGCGGCGGGCGGGAGCCGCCGGGGCTCCGGGGCGCCTCAGGGGCCCCCCGACGCCTCGCACCCTCTCGGAGGCGCAGCCGGGCGGGAGTGGCGGGCCGGCCGCGGCCGCCGCCGGGGACCCGGCGCCGAGGACGGGGCGGGGCCCGGGGGAGGGGGGACCCCGCCCGCCTGCCGCGGGGCGCCCGGGCTTAGCGCGCGGCTTTGACACCCGGGGCGAGGGGAAGGGTGGGGGGCCCGGGGCAGCGCCGGCGGCGGGAAACGCCCTCCCGGCGGGCGCGTCGCTAACCGCCTCAGCAGCCGGCCCGCCGCTTCCCGCGGTGCCCGCGCCCCAGCCTCCCCCCAGGGGTCGCTCTCGGCGCCCGGCAGGGGCGGCCCGGCGGGCAGGGTCCCCGCCGCGAGCCGGGAGCCGAGCGGCCGCGAGAGGAGGCGCGGGCGGGCGCCCTCCGTCCCCCGAGGGCCCGCGAGCGGAGCCGCCGCCGCCCGCCCCCGGGACCCGGCCCCCGCGGCCCCGCTCGGTATTTTTAAATCTGGCGGGGATTTCCCTCCCGGGCCAGCCACGCCCCCCGGCGGCCACCCCAGCCAGTCAGCGGCAGGCCCGCCATTTTTCAAACCCGTCGCTCGCCGCCAATCAGGGTCGAGCGCTGCATTCCTCCCCTGACCGGTTCTAACGGGTCTGGGAGTTAACGACCCGGGCGACCCACCGAACCTGCTAGGCTGAGGCTGGGGGGGCGGGCCCGGCGACACTCCGGCCAATCGGGAGCGTTCGTGGCGAGGGGGCGGGACCTGCCCGGGTTTGAATAATCCCCAGAACCAATCGGCGCGCCGGGGGCGTGCCCGGAGGCCCGGCTCGTCAAGTTGCCGTGGCGCGGAGAAGTCTGCAAAACAAGAGGCTGCGGGCAGCGTTAGCGAGAAACCAGTTCTCGCCGGAGCCCGCGGGAGGAAGCGCGTGTGGAGCCGCCGCTCGGCAGGACTCTGAGGAAAAGCTGCCCCAGGCAAGAATCCCCCCGGGCCGCCTGGGGTTCCTGGGCCTCCGTGCGCGCCCCGCTCGCCCCAGGCCCGCCCGGGCGCGGTGGTTCTCGGGGTTCGCGCCGGCGAGCGGAGTCGGGGTGGCGGGGCGGGAGGCGAGGCCGCCCCTGAGGGGGGCTCGCGGCGTGGAAGCCGGGCGGCCTCCCGCCCGGAGGGGGGCCCCGGGGGCGCTCGCGCCCCCCGCGGGGCCGGGCCGGGGAGGGCGGCGGCTCGGGGGGCCCGCGCGGGCGGGGCGCGGCGCGCGTTTGGGCGGGAAGCGGGGGCCGCGGCGCCCACCGCCCGCTGTCGCCGCCAGGTCGCGCCGCCGCCAGCATGGGCAAGGGAGACCCCAATAAGCCGCGGGGCAAGATGTCCTCGTACGCCTTCTTCGTGCAGACCTGCCGCGAGGAGCACAAGAAGAAGCACCCGGACTCGTCCGTGAACTTCGCCGAGTTCTCCAAGAAGTGCTCGGAGAGATGGAAGGTGCGCGGGGGGCGGGGGCCGCGGGGCGGGGGCCGGGGGGCGCGGAGGGGGCCCGGGGCGGGGCGGCGCCCCCCGCCCGCCGCCCTCAGCCCGCCGCCCGCCCGCCCGCAGACCATGTCCGCGAAGGAGAAGTCCAAGTTCGAGGACATGGCCAAGAGCGACAAGGCCCGCTACGACCGGGAGATGAAGAACTACGTGCCGCCCAAGGGCGACAAGAAGGGGAAGAAGAAGGACCCCAACGCCCCCAAAAGGCCGCCGTGAGTGTCCCCGCGGCCCCCCCCCGCCCCCACCGGCGCCCGGCGCGGCGTTAACCCTTGCTCCCCCGCAGGTCCGCCTTCTTCCTGTTCTGCTCCGAGCATCGCCCCAAGATCAAGAGTGAGCACCCCGGCCTGTCCATCGGGGACACGGCCAAGAAGCTGGGCGAGATGTGGTCCGAGCAGTCCGCCAAGGACAAGCAGCCGTACGAGCAGAAGGCGGCCAAGCTGAAGGAGAAGTATGAGAAGGTGCTTGTCTGGCCGGCGGGAGCGCGTTCGGCGGGGCGCGGGGTGCCTCGGCCGGGGCCCCAGCAGGTAGAGGCTGAGAGGCGCGCGCCCGGCAGGTAGCCCGCGCGCGCCCGCCAGCCATGTTCTGAGGAGACGCTCGGCGGGGCGCCTTCTGGGTGGCGGAAGCCGGGGCGCGGGTATTGTGTGGCGAGGTGCCCTGCTGGGCTCGCCGTGCGAGAAAACTCGAGGGCCGGGTGCCGGGTTTTGTGGACACAGCTGAGAGGTGAAGTGGGGGCGTGAGGTAAACGGATGTTGGTGGTGGAGGGACTGACGTCCGCGCGCGCGCAGCCCCGCTGTGCATCCCGAGCTCTCCAGAGCCGGGGCGCGACCGCTCCCAGCACCCAGCCCGCCTCTCTCTGAGAGCCCTGCGGACAGGCGCGGGGGTTATTGGTCAACACGCTTAGGTTGGTGGTGGACCGAGTGGCTTGTGCCGTTGAGCAACGAGGCCGGATGCTGATTTTGTTTTATTTTTTCCCCTCCTTCAGGATATTGCTGCATACCGCGCCAAGGGCAAGAGTGAAGCAGGAAAGAAGGGCCCTGGCCGGCCAACAGGCTCGAAGAAGAAAAATGAGCCAGAAGATGAGGAGGAGGAGGAGGAGGAGGAAGAAGACGAGGACGACGAGGAGGAGGATGAAGATGAGGAGTAAATGGCTGTCCTGTGATGGTGCGCGTGGCGTGTGCATGTGTGCTCGGCAACTGTTTTGCTAAGAATGTGAATTCAAGTGCAGCTCAATATTAGCTTCAGTATGAAAACTGTACAGATTTTTGTATAGCTGATAAAGATTCTTTGTAGAGAAAATACTTTTTTAAAAATGCAGGTTTGTAGCTTTTTGAGGGGCTACTACGTACAGTTAGATTTTAAAGCTTCGGATGTTGAATGTTTCTAAATATTTAATGGTTTCTTTAATTTCTTGACTTGTGTTTGGTAGCACAGCAAACTTGTAGGAATTAGTATGGATAGAAGATTTTGGGTTGTTTAGAATGTTACATTTTGGTTTTTTAAAAAAATTTTGTAATAAAATTGTGTATATTACTTCCGTTGTCTTTGTCTTATATGCTAGATTAATTTTTACTTCAAAAAAACAGTCTGGAACTATGTCAGCATCTTTTCTGCCCAGTTCTAGACAGTTAATTTAGGAAAAGGGTTAAAAGAAAGGCGTACATGCTCGTATTCCTATTTACAAGTGTTCTTTAAAATTCAGGTCTGAAATTTAATGAACTATATATAAAAACTTACGCAGCTTTGCAAAAGTAAGTTTTGTTCTTGACATTGCTGTTCATTTATTAGCTAGCTTGTCCCTTGGTTGTGGGTTTTTTTAAAAAATGAGTACTGTTAAGGCAAAGTTTTTCTGAGGCAGTAGATCTGATACAGTGAATTCACACCTAAAGGTGTATGTACAATTTTTAAAAAACAGTAAAAGTTTCTGTTGATGATAAAGTAGTTCAAGATAGAATACCAGAGTGAATTTTGAGTAATCTTTTAGAAATCAATATTGTCTTAAGTTTTAGAATTCTCAGTAACATAGAAAGCATTAAAAATGACTATTGTGATCTCTCCCCATAAAATAATCCAACGAGAATTTACTAGTGTTTATGGGATGGAAAATGATCAATGGAGGAAGCAGTTGCTTGTATTTAGGTTTAGGTAATTCTTGAATCATCACCAGAGATTATTAGTGAAAATTGACTATCTTTTGGCTCAATGACTAGAAGAAACCTATTAACTGATTTAATAGTTAAAGTTGACAAATCTTGGCTAAAAGTTATAAAATAGAAGTCAAGATTCTTATTACCAACTAGGGGAGCCTTGGTTGTCATTCTTCTGCCACATTTGGAATAAATATCTGGTAGGCGTTATTTAATTTTTAAGATACTGACATAAGTTTCGTTAAATAGAAGTAAGCTATTAGTGTAATAAATTACTAGGTCAAAGGGACCTCGAATATTTTGAGAATATGCGCCCCTGTGTTCTCTGCACTATTCACTAGCTAAGGTTTGGAAGCAGCCTAAATGCTCATCAACAGATAACTGGATTAAAAATGTATGTTCAATAAAGTACTTAGGAAGCGAAGGACAAATATTGGAGGGTTTATAACCGATGAAATACAAATAAAGAAAATGTACTAACATCACGACAAATAACAGACCCTAAAAAGTATGATTAGAGGAAGTAGGGAGAAGAAGGGGTAAGGGTAGAGGAAAGGCACTAAAACTGTCAGTGGGTGAGGCGAGGCTCATTTGCACAGAGCTGAAGCTGTACCTCTCCCCCCTAATTTATCTGGTAAGTCAGTGGTAAATCAGTAACATCTTAAAAACAAATGGACCTCAAGAAAATCTTCAAACCTCAATAAGAGTTCTCTACTACTCATTCGAATGGCTATGCATTCAAATTTGGAATTTTCACTGATCATAAAGTGAAGGTTAGAAAATATTTTCTAGTGTTATGTGATGCTAGAAAAATTGGGGTAATTATTTCAGAGACATTCCCAGGTTAGACCCCAGTCCCCCAGCCCTACAAAACACTAGCCGTACCGGCTTCTGAGCTTATTTCTCCCCATTTGTAATGAGGGGTCAATACCTACTTAGCAGTTTCAGTGATTAAATGACCATGGTAGAAAGTATCTGAAACCACCTAGTACATAGAAGAAATGGAGTTTTTGATTGAAATAGATTAAATCTGTTTCCTTAAGCATTTGGAAATGGGTGGAATGTTATCAAATGGGAGACCTGACAATCTGAATTTTCCCAGGGCAGGTAACAATAAAATGCAACTTTCATTTATGCCTTAATTTTCAATGCACATTTTTCCAATAAAGATAAAATGGCTTTTATAAAGAATGAGAACAAATGAAAAGACAAGCACTACAAAGGGAATAACAAAAATAGGAAAATAATTGAAGTGATAAGGAACTGAGCCTGGGGAATCAGAAGATT